GAATAACTTCTGATAGAAAAAAGATAGAGACCTGTGGTTTCCAGTGTTGTGTAGCCACAACTTTAAAACGTAGGGCTAAAAGTTTTCCCGGACTAGGACACCACCTGCAGGTTGTGTGCACATTGATCTAGGAGAGATAGGATTTTTAGGGGACCAAAAGATGATTTTCAAATGGTGATTAATGAATTCGATCCACCAAATCGTCCTCGACAATTTTATACATGTTCTATCTCCTATCAGACATGTCCGGTAATCTCAGAAACATACAATACCTAGACAATCGAATGCGCTGTTCAATCGTGTCAATGTTTATTTTCTTTCTTAGAGTACCAGGACTTCAGCTGAGCCAGTTTTAAGAAAATCCGGTTTTCGCCTATGTTTATATAGAATTTAGAAGCTCATGACTCACTCATTTCTGGTCCAGAGTTAGTGAAACTTTCATAAAATGTTCAAAACAATAGATTATGGAATACGCCGGAAAAATTGCCTAGGATAATGCTTCATCTTTCAGGTTTTTAAGGAGACCTCTGGAAAACCTGTGGTCGTTCCTTAGCACAACCCCATATTTTTCTGATTGATCTATAATCTGTGACTTGTTTCGGACGTTTCATGAAAGTTTCACTAAGTTTGGACTAGAATTTGGTGGATCGAATTCATTAATCACCATTTGGAAATCATCTTTTGGTCCCCTAAAAATCCTATCTCTCCTAGATCAATGTGCACACAACTTGCAGGTGGTGTCCTAGTCCGGGAAAACTTTTAGCCCTACGTTTTAAAGTTGTGGCTACACAACACTGGAAACCACAGGTCTCTATCTTTTTTCTATCAGAAGTTATTCAAAAATAACCACAGACGTTATATATTGGGACCGATAGTGTAATATAGTTCTTTCAAGCTAAAAGCTGCATAACTGTGTGAATCTATCCAAGAGATCTGAAAAATTTTATATACACGCAACTCAATGTGCTCTGCAAACTGGTTGTATCAGAATCTCAATCAATTCAGTGTTTTTAGTAGGGCTTCTGAAATCTGGTTTCTATAGATCCAACAAAGAAAGACCTATTGGTCGGAATCGCGATTAGCTTCACGATCAACATAAAAGATTATTATCTATATTCCAATAGATTTCAAGGACAAAGCGAGGAAAAACTCGGTGTTTTTCTCATAAGGCAATAGATCCTTTTTTTGCATTTAGAGTGTTTTAATGCTAATTCCGAGTTCAGTTTGATATGCTTTAGTTCCTGTAAATGATGGCTACCCACTTATATATAAAATTCAACAGAGAACTTTAATATTTCATTCTGAAGTTAACATCATATGTACAAAAAGGTTTAAAAAATATACATATATATATTGCAAAAAAATATTTCATAAGCTTATTTGTGCAGAAAAATATCCAACTAGATAATACGTAACTTAACTACATTCAAAATCTTTCTTCCATAACCGATTAAGTTTCTCATCTTTTATCTGTTCGAAAATCTCCGAGACTTTTAATTGTACATCATTTTGAATATCTGTTTCTGAACGAAAATTTCCATTCTGCTGACTAACATTAATCGATGTCCAATAGGATGCATTCTGAAATTTTTCAAAACATTTTTCAACTTTTGCTTGCATTTCTGTAGTTTCATAACGTTCTCCACCGTCTGTGCCACTATTCTTAACAGCCAAATTTCCTTTGTTCATATATAAAACTAAATCGGGTTTAATCAAACCAAAATCACATGAACAGCACCAGTTGTAATCCAGTGTACCTTTCGCATGACTAAACGCAATGCCCGAGTAAACATATCTATCAACAATCAATGTTGTACCATTAAGTAACTTTTCCTCGATTTGTCGGTTACATTCCCATCGATTAGCGGAAAATAACAAATGAATTGAATGATCATCATAATCGATTTTATTCTTAAGGTACAAATCGATTAATTCACCAATTTTTGTATCACGCTTTGGAAATGACAGACGTTCACATAGAAGTCGTTTATCATTTTTTAAATAGTCCAATAAAAGACGACTTTGTGTTGTTTTACCAAGGCGATCTAAACCTTCAAATACAATAAATGCTCCACGTTTTGTTCCCATTTAAATCTAAATTAAATCAGAGCTATAGCAAATAAGTTATGTTAACATTACTTATTTGCTACCACTCCATTATATGAAAATGGTTTACTTCTGTTATTAAAATGATTTAAGCTATATTCGTCTGACCTCTGTTGATTATATGAATCAGGTCTAATCTCCATCATAAATGGCACTTTCAAGTCATTCACAGCTAGCTGATTGCAAAGAAACAAATTTGTATATCAGTCATCACATTATTATTATATAATTTATCAAAAACAGCAAAAAAANTAACATTACTTATTTGCTACCACTCCATTATATGAAAATGGTTTACTTCTGTTATTAAAATGATTTAAGCTATATTCGTCTGACCTCTGTTGATTATATGAATCAGGTCTAATCTCCATCATAAATGGCACTTTCAAGTCATTCACAGCTAGCTGATTGCAAAGAAACAAATTTGTATATCAGTCATCACATTATTATTATATAATTTATCAAAAACAGCAAAAAAAAGCTACATAATTAAATTTTAAAAATAAAAAATATTATGCTACATGCATAAATATGGGCAAAAATATTATTAATCAGACTTAAAAGTTAAACTTTTGGTCGTAGTTCTTTGTTTATATTAAATTCTTCTTTAATTTATTGAAATTTAATTGTATGATGGGATAGAATGCGTATTACTCGCTAAGTGTTCACGTAACTGTTCAATATCTTGTTCTAATTGTTTTCGTAATTGTTGACGTTTTTTATCGTGTTTTAGCTTTTCTTCATTGTTAGTTCATTATTTTCTCTCTCTTATTCCTTAAATATTTTTAAACGTTGACAAGAATAATCTTTTTAGTGATTCTAAATGCATTTATAACGTTTCATAATCAATCATTATATTATTGTTTACATTTATTCATTTCAAATAAACATTTGAAGTGATTCATTGTAGGCGTCTTTTACACATAATTCTTCATTTGTGCATTTTTTAAATAAACGTTGATGTTGCTATAAACGAAAATCGTAGTAATAACTGTAATTTTGTATTGATTGAATACGTTGATCACGAATTTTTGAGCGCAATATACGTTTAAATGAATAAGAATTATTGTCAGACACATGTTGTTCCACTCTTTGTCGGATAAATTGATTCGATACTGAATGATTTATATCACCTAAGGCTGATTTCAAATTAGATTCTATTTCAAAAATGAAACAAAACAGTAAATGCAAATTTTTAATCAATCTTCCATAACATAAACATCATGTTATTAATTCATCAGTTATATGGAATAAATCAAATTCAACAGTTTCATAACACAACGTGTTGATTACAACGTTAATGTTGTGAATTTTCATCTTGAAGATCAACCGAACATCTGGAAAACAAGAGGGAAAATAGTTTACTTTGTCGATCTGAAAAGTCTTTATTACTTTTTAATTCACACGGTATATTTTCTTGTATATTAGAATTAAGATCTCACTGCAAAATTCAGCTACAGTACAAATACATCTGTGGTTGAAAGTGAGTGAGCAAAATTGGCTAGAACAGAAACAAAACAAATCAAAAAACTACATGACACAATTGAAGAATAGAATACTAAAAATAAAAATCATATTTAAAAAAACACACATACCTGTTCCGAAATTTTGACTATCACCATGTGGTCCAAAAACCACCTGCTGTTAACCGTTTACATTACTTTTCTAAAAAAAAAACATAGACAAAAGAAAATAATAACGACTATTGGGCTTGGGACCAATGAAAATAGTTAATTTATTTTTGCGTACGCGAGGCTTAATGTACTTTTGCCACTATGGTACACTGCTAGAAGATTTGCGTGATATAAAAGATTTGTAGACGCATAAGCAATAATTTTATGTTCTTTTTTTAACTCAAAATTTACTTTTACATACATGATCTAAATGTATTTATTATATATACAAATATATATAGCTTTTGTATGTTTTTTAGTGCGTTTGTGGTTATATAGTAAAATATCACTATCAAAAAGAAAGAAGACAGAAATAGAAAGCAACAGTAGCAAAACAAAATCAACTAAGAGTATCATGTTTTCTTCTGCTGCCATAAGCAGTATAAAAAAAAACAAAAAAAAACAGAAGAAAACGTATAGAAATCATTCACATAAGACATAGGCAGAATCAGGTCCTTTTGTTTCTATCCTTCGTTTTCAAGAAAGAATGATTAGTGAACGGAGTATGTAAACGATTCGNTCAAAAAGAAAGAAGACAGAAATAGAAAGCAACAGTAGCAAAACAAAATCAACTAAGAGTATCATGTTTTCTTCTGCTGCCATAAGCAGTATAAAAAAAAACAAAAAAAAACAGAAGAAAACGTATACAAGCAAACAAACAGCGCGCAAAAAATCAACGATAAAAAAAATACCCTATATGAAAAAAAACAAAAAAAACAAAAAAAATTAGGGATAACTAATAACGCAAATGCAATAAAGAATTTGTTGTGTGTCTGTCTGCTTTAATAGCAAGATTAAAACAAAACAAAAAAATTATTCCCAAACATTTTTTTTTCGGAAAGACTGTTCATATAATAACAAAAGTAGCACAAAGGGTGTCTACTGTTCCAGTTATGCTTCAAAGCTCTAACGGTTAATAGATACATATCGAATTTCAAGAAAGTGAGAGTACAAAAAGCCTATTCTTGACATCGAAAAAAATGCATAGAATAAAATAAGTGTGTATAGTATTCAGTTTCTGTTAATTTATTTTTATAAACGAGAAAACGAATAAATACGCGGAACAAGTTCGTGCAAGAAACAAAAGTTAATTTATTAAAATATACAAAACACTCGCAGAATTTCAACATGCGGAAAACACACACACACACACGCAAAACACACTTATCATCTTCTTCGAGAAGAAGCAAAATTCATCAGTGAGTTAAATTTTCGTCATCGCGTAGAAAAATAGAGAGAGAAAGAAGAAAAATCAAAAACAATACACTGTTTAGTTCTGTCTTTTTAAATTTTTGGTAATTTTGGTGCAGCTACCACAGGATTATTTCTTTCAATTAATCGTTTGCCTTCTGCTTTGTAATCATATGGACAGTTATGAGCTTCGGGATAGCGGTGTTCAGAACAAAATGAACTACCACATCTAAATAACAATAATAAATAAAAAATACGTGAAAAAAGAATATTGTCGTGCCAAAAAAGATATAGTACCTGCAAGAATATGTTGTAGCTAAACCAGTTTTTTTCTTGCACAAAAAACATTTTGCTGTTGATTTACGACTAATAATAACAGGTGGTAGTTTATTTGGATTTGTATTACTGTAAATTGTAGCCGTTGTTGAATTTAAACTACTAATGGTACTACCATTGATTGATGTTGTGGACCATGGATTTAGTTTTGCATCAAGCTGAAATATCGGAAAAAATTCCTTATGAAATAAGTAGTATTCTTTGAACAAATGAATACACACCTTATAACGTTCTTCTATTACAGTATCCTGAGATTGAAGTAGAGGAATTTTTCCTAGGAGAAAAATCGAACAATAAAAAAGAGGTTAAAAGAATGATAAAAATATCTACCTTTATTAGATGTCTCTTTAGATGCTGTTGTTAACAGTGAAACTAAATGTCTTCCAACGCCTCTGGATGTATCAACAGGTTCAATTGTTGCATTCTGCCTCAATAAAGCTGTCACTGTTTTGGATCCGATTGTTTCTACGATAAAGAACAATATTAAAACCACTGTCCTGATGGTGATGAATGGTTTGTGAACTTACCTATAGTTACTTTTGTACTGTCATATGGCAAACTTTGTGTAGCAACAGACGTTGATGATATAACCGGTTTTGTTGTTGAATTATTCTCATTATTACTGTCTCGTTTTGTTGATACAATTGAGGAAGGCGGCGGAAAGATTGCAGTTGACGAAGATGATGGCGATGGTGGCATAGGCGACTGTTGTTTTCCTGCTTTTAGCATTTCAATTCGTTTATTATTTAACATCAGATGTTCATTGAATGAATCATTCTGTGTTGTTGCTGTTGTATTTTTGAACCAATCATTTGTTGTTGGTGATGGTGTATCACTTAACTGATGTTGAAAAAATGATGTACTATAAGTTGTTCCTTGTTGAGCATTTGTACTTGCTGGAGGCATACGACGATATTTTGATAATGTTAGTGGTACTAATGGTCTGACATTTAATGATGGTGACGAACGCTGTTGATCAAATGAAACGATAGATGATGATGTACTATTTGTTGTATGATGATAACGTTGTTGTGTTTTTTTTGCACTGTTCTGGAAATTTGGTAATGTTGGTGTGGGCGTGATTGTACTCGTACTACTATTTTGATGTCGAAATAGTGAATGGCTGGTGAGTGTACGTTCATTATTATTTGATTGCTCGCTGATAATTATATCATCATCTTGACCAAAATGTCCGTCTAATTTACTTTGTGGCGATGGTGTATCAGGCCATTTACTCAATGATGTTTCATTACGACTATTTGAATGATCTCCACCAGTGTTACTAATCGAACCAGCTGTTTGTTTTCGAAGATAAGAATCATTACTATTTGATAATGATGAATGTAAACACTTATATGGTGATTGTTGAAGTTTTCTTAAAGATGCATAATTGTTCGTAGTGCCAATAGTTTCATCGTCAAGATCAAGGGCGGTCGATGATGCAAGATGATGATAAATTTCAGTTGTTGTTGTGCCACAACTCGCAACGTTTCCACTCGATGCATAAAGTGTTGATTGTGGTTGAGTCTGATCGCTTAAACGCTTTGCTGAACATGTTATACAAGGAGATGGCGAGATTGGCTGCGATTGAGTAGGTGACAAACGATGAATATAGTCAAGCAATAAATCATTTTTAGATGAAGTAAAGTTAGTCAGATCATTCGTTGCAGTTTCCTGAGAATTGGTTATATCTTGGTTACTAAGTCCTACAAACAAGAAAAACATGTACTCTAAGACTCATTCTAAAGATGTTTTAACAAACCTAAATTCATTGATGGATAGCTATTTGTTAATAATGTTTCGACTGAAGTTTTTGTTGTTGTTGCTTCTCGTTTTGCCATCGACACCTTCTTTTTATCATGATAATGCTGATAAGCTTTCTTTTGTTGTTGTTGTTGTTGTTCTAAACTATGCTTTAACGATGATAACGATTTAGTAGTAGTTGTATTTGTGGTTAACGGTGTTGTGGCAGCCGTAGCCGATGTAGAAAAGAAACCGTTTGATAATATTGATGGTGAAAACGATCTCGTTGAACCAAATAATTTTTTTGTAGTGATCATTGAACTTGTTTTATATTCGTCACTATCATTCTCCTCGTCATTTGAGTCGTCCTCTTCTTCTTCTTCATCCTCATCTTCGTCATCCTCTTGCAAATTTTTTGCTGATAACAGATTATATGTGTTAAATATGTTTGTTGTTGAAATTGTATTCGGTATTCTTTTGCGATCGGAAGTATTGTTATTATGATGGTCAGCTAATACTGTGGTGGCTGTTGAAGATATTTCATTATCATTAACATTGCTCAAAGTTGAATCAAGCATAATATTTCGATCACTACCATAACGACGTAAACGTGAACCACCACCAGCCCCATACGATGTTGTAAGTGTTTGACGAATAGTTTTAGATTTACTACCTGATGGAGGTCTTGGTGGTAACAATTGAGGTTCCTTGAAACAAGCGAATATATAGCAAACGAAATAAAACATTTATATATTACCTTTTTTGATGATAGTGTAGTTGTATTTTTTAGTTTTGATTTGATCAGTTCCATTTTCTGTTTCGTTCTTTTATCTTCGGCTCGTCGTTTTTCATCATCACGTTCAACATCGACAGTTTCATGCGTGTTGTACATTGATGCAGTACTAGAAAACAACGCATTGTCAAAAGAAAACAAAGCTATTTTTAATCGTCATGTATACCTCATTGAGCCCGACATTGGTGATAGTGTACCGTCACCTCGATCGATAAGTTGAAAAAAGTTAAATTGATCGCCGTCGCGTAACACAAGAAATGTAACATTTTTATTCGATGTACCGCTCGAAAATAAATCACCGTAATCTTCTTTGATGTCAATATATTCAGACATATCACGTATCAAACTATCCTCAATGGGAACTAGAAAAAAATGTACAGACATTTTTAGAACAATATAACAGTAATGAGTTTAATAAAATCTACGTACCGCGCTTGGTATTGACCGGTCCACCTCTCATGGCTAGAACAAGTTTAATTGTTCCACCATCTCCAATATTATAATCGTGTAAACACGATTCATCTTCAAGTTCTTGCGTTTTCCATACAAGATGTTGGTGTGAAACCGGAATACCTTCGAAAAAATTACAAGAGTTAAAAATCATTGACCTTCTGACAGTTGATACACATACCCTCTCGTCTTTCAATTTTTCGTTTTATGGTTGTTATGGTTTCATATGGTGACACCAGTAATTCGAATGAGGAACCGGCTAATGTTTCTATGTTAATAGCAATCACATAGCGTGCTTGATTTGGCAACATTTTAGATAAGATCTACAAAAAACAAAAAAATAGGGTATAAAATACATTATTTACAAAATATTCGTTCATCTCACCTCATACTATAAAAAATAATCCAGATTTGACAAGTGTCAATTATAATCGCCCACCGATAAGTATGAATGTATAAAAAGGCTACAAATAATCCATATCTAAAGTAGCCACATGGTCAACGTTTCTAATAAGAGAGTGTACCCCGCTGAAACAGAGTGTGCAGCATCCCAACGAAATTAAATATACACACTGTTTCACAAAAAACAGAGTATACACTGCATACTCTGAATTTTTAATTTACACTTTGTTTTTTTGCAAGTTTATGTAGAGAATATAGCGTTATTTTTTGTGTGTACGATTTGTGGTCTATCGGTAACGACCAACAATTCAATTCAATAGATAGAGGTGCTGTCTACACCTCTAATATCTAGACCAGAGCTGGTACCTGTACAAGTCAGAAATCTGGAACCATAATCCTAAAATACGGAATTTCTTTTCAAAATACAGAAGAAAAACAGAAATCCATTTTCACTGCCTTATTTAACCTTTTGCCACGTGCAGAGTGCGAAAAAAGGTTTTTCTCTAGCTGTATATGATTTTTCTCGATAAAATACAAGAAAATAACAAACATAAAGATAAATTTCGATTTTAATCGACACGCTGTGTTTTGCATGTATATTTTTGATCCAAAAACTGACACTTTAGCTGGTTTATAATATGAGAAAAGTAGGCTCCACAAACCATAGATAAACAGAAACACGTAAAAGTCTTTATGATCAGAGAAAAACAGCCAAAAGCAGAAAATTAGCAAAATCCGGACAAATTCTGAAAAAAACTGAAAAGCCGGAATTTGTTCGACAGCTGTGATCTAGACTGACATTCATGATCTTAATGAGCAGTGGCAGAAAAAAACAACGAAAAAAGAAAAATACCTCAGGTTAGCCTCATATCTATCCTATTCAAATTAAGAAAATAAAAGTACATTCACTATATCATCAAAACAGAAACGGACTGTCCTCTGAAATCTCGGAGAAATTTATCAAATGTTATATTGCTCAGTTTTTCAAACTACTGTTCTTTTTAACTTTACTCTATTTGCTGTAGTTTTTATACATTCTTAGATGAAATAAATATGAACAATGATAATAAAAATTCAACACTGGATACTTTTGCTTTAAGAAACTTAACAACAGCATCAGCATTGTCTTCTGCATTATCCTTGCCATAAAAAGAAAATAGTGAACAGACTGACAACTTCGAATATAAATAAAACAAAACAACATCTGACTTAGAACTGAGATCGCTCTCACAATCACTACTATTGAATGAAAAAAATAATAAAAATTCATTGACAACTACATCATCTAAAATAAAAAACAAAAATCGTGGCCCTTGTTGAAAACAATATTCAAAACCTTGGGAAAAACAGCCAGAACCATTGTATTTAACATATTCATATAATTCATTCGCTGCAAGACATGAAAAATACCGTTGTTGGCCGTATAGAAAGCAGGAGGAGGTTTCGTAAAAATTCTTAAGTGCTCGACTTAGTAAGTCTCCGTATTGTACACTTACGTGTTAATTTTATACACTTAAGTTTGACTTAAGTCTAGACTTAGTTAAGTCGAGCACTTAAGAATTTTTATGAAACCCCCTCCAGAAACACAACCTTTTGTATTTTAGAGTTGTGAGGCTTTTTAATTTTTGTACACTTTGTTTTGAAAAAGAGAATGTACGCGTACACTTTCGACTCCGAAACAGAGTGCACTAGTACATTCTGACTCCGATTCTCATTAGAAACGCTGCATATGATTACAAAGAACAGCATAGAAAAATTGCTAGAAACTATCCCAAGGAAATGGCATATACTTCTAGATCACTTCTGTTTGCTAACGTACTGAACGTTTTTTTCAGGAGTTAGAGATATCAGAAAAATCAGCCATTTTCGTTAAACGATAATACTATTTAGCTACTCATTTCGAAGCAAGCCATTAGGAAACAGTCTTAGTTATATCATCATCAATAGCAAAATAGAAAAAACAGACTGACTCGAAAATGAACTTTGATGCTGCAAAGTCAAAATCAAAATCATTTGGTCTTAGAGATAAATCGGCTCATATATGATCTAAACGATTCATCGTTACGCATTTTTTTTTGGTGACACTAGATTCATGGTTCTGCTCTCATAACCTACCGCTAAATGAATTTCTATTACTGAGATCTCCACTTTATTTATATTCTCTTTCGTGGTAGCGAACTTTTAGATGTTTACAACCAGTTGCATTTACGCGCATTCAGGAATTATTTACTTAGTTTTTTTATTATTATTTTCAATACTTTCTTTCAGCCATAACTGTATCCTACTGCCTTGCCTCTTATGATGAAGTTTTGACAAACTATAGGCACCATCTACTGAACTTTTGTCCTATCTTATTTTCAGGGCCCAAGTTAAGTGAGACGGAAAAAAGGGCTAATTTATTGTATTTGCATGAAATAATAAAGATAGAAAGCATTCAAAAGCAGGGTTTTATTAGGTCAGTCTTACCTCTACGGTTTTCTCACTCTGGTTTGATGACGGCTTTTGGTAGGACCGAATAGAGAACCAATCAACGTCAGTGATGTTGTAACTTAGTATATACAGGGCGTTTTATTTTCTTCCTTTGAGTTTCGAATAATCTTTTCTCGAGCCACTTCGACTTTAAACGATTGAAGCCTGAATTTTTAGAAGTTTAGAAGCTACAAAGAATTTTGAACATATCCTTTCTCCTTACTTTAGATAAAAAACATCTCATTTCGTTTAATTGATCATGGGTAAGTTCATCGAAACAATCTCTTTGAATTCAGAGATTGAATGATATTTTTTCTACTTGTAGGTAAACCACGAGGGTAAGTGATTCGTTTATTAACTAATAAAATATGTACATGTGAATACGAAGTATTTGTGATCGTTTTTAGTCTTCGTACAGCACGTAAACTAAAGGATCATCGTCGTGAACAAAAATGGCACGACAAAGATTATAAAAAATCCCATTTGGGTACTCGATGGAAATCTAATCCATTTGGTGGTGCCTCACACGCCAAAGGAATTGTTTTAGAAAAAGTGTAAGTTTAAGTTGAAATGATTCATTTTATCTACTTATTCGCTTGTTTTCTTATAGAGGAGTTGAGGCTAAACAGCCAAATTCAGCCATTCGAAAATGTGTTCGAGTTCAATTAATTAAAAATGGCAAGAAAATAACAGCATTCGTCCCTCGAGATGGTTGCCTAAACTATATTGAAGTAAGATTTCGAGCAATGCAGTATCTCTCATTGTACAAAAGATAATCGATGACCACATGAAAATGGAACATCGAGTAAAGAAACTTAGGGTGATATTGTTTTGATCTGACGGTTAAATAATACACAGATCCATTTACAGTTCCTTAACAACAACAACAACACTTTTTTTAGCATATGAGTAGTTTGCGCTAGAGATCCGCGGGACTTTTTACAGGACCATGATCAAACTTCATGGGACCGGGACCCAGAGATCTGCGGGGTGGTCTCGGTCCCAAGCGGCTATTGATGGGATCAGGATCAGGTTTTTTTGAAAACTGGCCTCGTATAGAGTATAAAACTTGCTTAGTTTCGGTGCTTGTTTGTATGTAGGCACTAGTTCTGCGAGAAAAAACTCACAAAATTCTAAAAGTTCTCAATTAATACCACCCACGCATGCTATCCCACGTTTCCGCATTACAACGCACTGACTTTCAAACTACCTGCGTTGCTTTGAAAAAATATTTACGGAACCACGGGACCGGGAATAAAAAGGTTTGGTCCCGCAGATCTCTAGTTTGCGCTGCTATTGGACTGTTGATATCCGAGAAGTAAAAATGCAATAACTTTTTTTTCTACTGAATGGATCTTCTTTAATTTTTTTCATTTTATTTGTCTAATCTTTGCTCATTACCGCTATAAAGGACAACTCTTTAGCTGCTTCAGTCACCAGGCTATAACAATTACATTGTTGTATGCGTAGGCTTTCATTGCCTTCTGCCGTTGAAACATGCATTTTTTTAAAGACGGAATGAATTCTAAATCTTTTTCTTATGAATAAAAAAAAAAATTGAAGTGGAAGACAAAGTCTCTCGAAATCTATAAATGAATTAACTCTTAAGTCCAGTTTTTTATGCGGATAAATCGAAATAATGTTATTACAGATACCTTAGTCGTTTTCTGTCCCGTAAGATTGAATCTCGCAGATCTTAGCTAAAATTAAATGTAATCTGTATCGAAAATAGTCAAACGATGGCCTACAGATTGAGAATCATTTTCATAAAAATAAAAGATTAATGTTTTCTTCACTGTAAAAAGGTGACAATTGCGTTGCTAGAAACAAACTGAATGTCCCGCGAGATCTTCGATTTTGCTTTTCTGATATATCTGTTAATACTCAACACTTCTTAGCACTTTTCTTATCTTTTTTTTCCGGCGATATAGAGCGTATGCCAAAATTTTAGACTCAAAATGTTGTGTCGGTCTTGAGAAAAATGTTCCGTGAGATTAAACTCGTTATATCTTCATTAAAAATACACTAAATTTAGCTTTATCGTATATCATTCGATAGAAATCGGTGAGACAATTATAGTCATGCGTGTTTGATAGCTTTCTTGTGGAGCCATCGGCATTTTAAACCTGAAGAATATTGAATGATACATTATCTCAGAAGTTTGTATATAAGAGGAACTTTAACTGGCAATAAAATGTATTGAATTATGCATCATTACAGAGGTCTCATTGAGATCTATCAATTGGTGCATTAGAACAAAGTTTAAGGATCATTTCATGTCGTCTTTATCGCAATGGGCTCGGCGATCGTTATGCTTTTCGTGGCGAAAATGCATGTTGACAGAAATGAAAGTGACAGCCGAGAACGTTAGTTTCCATCATTGCTTGGACTGTCCGAATTTACTACGATAGTAAAAAAAAAGTTCACACGAAAGTTCATTTTTTTTACGTTGTTTTCATAGAAATGGTACAACAGCAGCATAAACCGCTCGTATATATAGATAAATTTTGTTGTAAAATTTGTTCAATATTTTGGTGCAGTTTCTCATTCGTACGGGTACATTCTACCATGTTCTACTAGTGTTTTTCGTTTTCTTCTTCAGGAAAATGATGAAGTGTTAATAGCCGGTTTTGGTCGTAAAGGACATGCCGTCGGAGATATTCCTGGTGTTCGATTCAAAGTTGTTAAAGTAGCCAATGTATCATTATGGGCATTATATAAAGAAAAGAAAGAACGTCCACGATCGTAGAGAAGTAAAATATCATCAACCAATAATGTTTGAAAACGGAAAAAAATCAGGTTGTTTATTGTTTTCGATATCGTGTTGTTATTTTTAAAACTTTTCCGTTTTTGTAATAATAAATATCGGATAAAAGTAAACTGTATGTATACAAACACAAAACCAATACGTAGTAAATAAAGAATACATAAGAGTGGGCTCAACATTTTTCTTTTTTGATTGTTCGTTGAATAGGACCGTTTTGAGTCCGATAGCATGTAATTTGTTCTATTAGGGTTTAGCAAAATTTAAACTTGGACTAGCGCTTGAAATATATTTAGGCAACTGTGAGATTTTATCTTCAGTGTAATGAATTTTCTACTTATTCTTAAACGAGCTCAAACTTCCTCTATATCTACTATATCCATGAACTTAATCCAAGTCTTGCGAGACCGTACAAAGGGCGTTTTGAAAAACTATGATTTTTCATGTGAAGTCCTATTTTTTCATTTAAAAAGCATTTTAAACCAAAACAAGTACATATCCAAAATCGGTGTGTAAAAGTGCATTGAATGTTATCATTTTTAAATAGTCTGTATTGAAAAGTTTTACCCAGAATCCTTTCCGGCATTTTTAATCGAAAGCTACAAGTTTTTAAGTTCAGTTTTTCTAGCGATAATACTAGTCTTAGAAGTAAAGAATCATTCCAAGCCATTTCCAATGATAAAAAACTAATGTCCACCTTCTTAGTGAAAAATTTTAATTGTGAGTGTCCCGCTAATTGATTGAAGAATTTATCCTAATACTGATACAATACTGTGTATATTTTGAAGAAATAAAAGGATCAGTTGGATTTCTTTTTAAATTTTTTGTGTGCATATTACCTTCAGCGAAAAAATCTTTTTATTCATTCTCTCTTAACCCTTTACCCCCCGCGAGCTTTTCTTTAGAGCTTTCTGAAAGCCAATCAATCAGTCCGGTCTTATAGCCCGAACGGGATATATATCTCGATCAGACTGTTTTGTATATCCCCACTAGAATTTAAAAAATCATGAATGGTAGACCCTTAAACCAAGACTAGAGCATCTTAGATTCCGACTCAGTTTTTCATCCGCTTTCTTATGCTATATTCACTTTTCTGCAATAATGTCACGATTTTTGCGATAATGATTTTTTCCAAAATGTTTTGCAAAAATATCCCGATCAGGATATAAATTTTCTGTGATATCCCGTTCGGGATGTAGAGTATATTTCGAACAGGATATCGCTCGTGAGACCGTACTGCCATTTAAATGGAAGTTAAGGGCACTAAGTATAAACATACCATCAATTTTTTAAATTCATTCAAAAATTTGAATTTTCAACTTTTAAGATTTATTACAAATTATATACGACAAACATAATATGGCGACTTGATGAACAAAAGCAAACATGTCTTGAAAAATAGTGTAAAACTCCAGCAAAAATGGTGGTTTCGTTTTGAGTCATCGGCAGTCCACTGTTATGAGTAGAAGGTTGTTCCAGTGATGCCATATAAAACAGAACATATTAATGCATCTTTCTTCATCAACACATTATACAAAATAAAAGTCTGTTTTGGTGAAAAAATTTGAATAAGCGAAAATGCGTTTTAGAAAAATTACTAATTTTAAATTTTAATTATCTCAGAGAGAAAGCAACATACAAAATAAATTTTTTTTGATCAATCGATAGCTTATGAAATTCTCTACAAACAATAAGTAATTAGTTCTTTGATCGTATATTTCATTACTTTTTTATACCGATTTACCAATGCCCACGCCTGTGGACATTGGGAGTAAAGAGTTAACTTGGAATAGTGACAATGGTCCCGATCATTAGCAATACAATGAGAGATGAGATATAGATGTCAAGTATTTAAATTATGAAAAAACAATTATTTCTCATACTGATCTAAACTAGCGTTCTGAGAAACTGAGTCCAGATCTCGACCCCGTCCGCATCCCGGCAAGGTTTTTTTTCAACCCCATTTTCGTAATTTCTAATCCTGTATATATGATACCTAATTTATTAATCTTTTTTTTGTCAAACATGCATCATGCATCAATGTATGGATAAAATTTATTTATCTGCCATATATGATTATGATCTACTGCATAGTGCAGAAACTGCTATGAAGAATTTTGACTCGAACTTGCCCACCTCTGCCTTGTATCGACTCCTAAAATTGTTAAGCGGTGCAAGGGCTACATCTAACACTTTTCCATCCGTTTCCCATTCCGTCACATGTAGGTTCAAAGAGAGAATTTACTTGATTAGCCTGCGTAGTAGTAAATCCCGATCCTGACAAAAATTGTTTTTTTCAGTCTTGATTCCGATCCTAACAAAATCGGGATTCGCACAGGACTCTAATCGTGTGAATGAGGGAAATAGTATCGGCGAACGAGCAAACTGCATGTGATTGATGTTATTAATTTTTCAGGATCATTGATGCTAGGTGATTTCATAGAGTCCGTACTACATCGGCCTTAGGTGTATAAGCGCAGTCGTATATAAATGGAAACTGCATAGTTGAATCACAACTGCCGCCATATATGTCTCATGTTTAAGAGGAACTAAGTTAATGTTTTTCATTTATATCGTGCCGACTAATTATCATATTTAAACAATTGAAATAAAAAGAATATAATTAAGAAAGTACTTTTCAGTCGAACGGAAAAGAATTTTTTGTCTTCTTCGCTATTTGCATTAACAAATATTAAATACAGAAAATAAAATAAAAGATTACATGTTGGAAGGCAAAATACAACAACAACAACAACAACAATAATAAAAAAAGAGATTTCACTAGCATCAATAAAAAAAAGAAAGAAAGAAAGAAAGAATATAACAAGTCAAGAAAAAATGGAACGTGTCTTTTCTGAAGAAAAGATAAAGAACAGACAAAAGTAAAAACAGAATATTGCCAAAATAATATGAGATTTAGAAGATTGACAACAATATAGGACACCGGAATTGAAGATTTCTTCATGCATAGTGTAGATATCAAATAATCAGAAAACAGAAAGACATTTTCATTCTCGAAAATTTTATATTTTTACTTATCATTGTTTTAATTCTTTTTTTTTTGAACGAAATGGTTTAAATATTTTCGTAGCAGAAAATTGTTTACGTGTTTTATCCGGTGTTCCCACAGAATTTGAACATGAAAATATTTGTGATGCTGTTTCATATGGTAACATACGATCGATAGACTCTTGACTGTGTATTGTTGACGGATAGCCTTGATGATAGCCTTGATGAGAATGATCAGATAATGATGATGGCATATTAACAACAGAGCCGTTTTGACGATTATTTAATTCACCACTATACAGCATATCAGCAATGCCCGTTGTGGAATTTGAATAGGACAAGGCAAAATTTGCTATAGCACTATTTCCGTTCCTGATAGGACGATTAAGTGCACGACGTTTGAGCGTTACAGATGATGAATTAGATGATTCAAGACCACTATCCGCTTGGCTAAGTGTATCATCAATGACACGTAGTGGTTGAGGAGGATTGATCGCTAAACCACGATTATTATTATGTACACTACTAAAATATGAAACTAAAAGTAAAAATGAACTGTACTTTTTATTTGCTTTAGATACTCATTACCCATTTATTTTCGATGGATCTAATGAATTTATTAAACCACATGTGTCATAAGTTGACGATTTTGAACGTGAAAAGGCATCTGAACAAAAAGAAAATATATAAAAATACAATTGAAGAATGTGATCATATTTAACATACATTCCCCGCAGGTGCCAACTAAAGAAAGGAATGATGTAAAAAATTAGTTTAAAGACAAGCAGAAGATGAGTGAACAGCTCATTTATTTCTGAAGTGTGATGAAACTTCTCTAATTTTTCAAAGTTTGTCTTAGACTATCATAGTCTTTGTGGCATGTTATGCTTCATATATATTCATTCAATGCCGAGATTATTTGCTAAACAACATTGGTTTAATATATTCACCCACAAATCCTCCATGAAAATTCTCTCATCAACGACGCCAACTTCTGAATAAGTCACCGGTTCGTTTCCTCAGAATAAGGTGTCAAGTTTCAGATTTGGCAAGAAATAGTAACTCTGATATAAACCAAAGATGTCATATAATAAAATAATTCTCGCAAAATAAACTATGGAAGAGTAATAATTGTTTGCGTAAGCATGAAGCGTAACCCATTTCAAAAGATAGACTCATCCCTCCAAAGTCTAGCCGGAAAAATTAATTGATTATAAAGAAATATAAGTGCTAGAAATATACGGGTGGACCATTCAAACACATTAGATGAAATTAGACAATTTTAGCTGTTTTTAAGCGCTATTAAAGCCAGCAGACAAAATGTTCCCTTATCCCTACAAATTTGCTTAAGTTACTAACCGAAGAAAAATTTACAAATTTATGGCTGAATTACAGTTAGAAGCAAAAAGCACCACAACCATTTTGACCACTTTGATATTTACTAAAGGGATGGACACAATAGAGGACCCGGGTCTTATAGCGCGTCCTAGCGCTCATAACTTTGAAGGGGGTCTTCTGAAGCGTCCCTAAAAATAGTTGATTTTGAGCTGAAATCGATGATCGAGAGTTCGCACTGTATACAAAGCTGTGTACACTTCTTTATGTCTGGTAGCTGTGTATTCACTCTAACAGCTGAGGAAAAAGACGAACGCAGAAATTAGTGTTTGATTGAACTCAAAAATCATCATATTTTAGGTAAAAAATTCGATAAAAAAAGGGGGTCTTCTAACGTGTTTTTTGCATTATTAGTTCAAGAGTGGTCTTGTAACAGGGAAGGAGTCCTCTATTATATCCATTCCTTTACTGGAAAAAGTTAGAAAAGCTTGTCGTTTTAGTTCATTATTCCTATAAGTAAGTAACTCACCTCTAATGCGTGAAACTTGCAAGAAGATAATAAAAAAATTTGAATCAAATCACAAGGGATATGAAAGCAAGTGTGTTAACGATAAAGGAGAAATTTTTTAAAGAAAAAACTAGTGTTCCTGTAACAAACTTACCCGCTGGATTAACTCCCGATGTCACAGAACCATTATATATTGATGGTGAAGTTGTCGTTGATATGGATGATGATTGATTTGAAGCTATTTGTCCTATAAAATCATCACGATTGACTAATACTGCTATTTTATGCCAACGTCTTTCACGTTCTTCATATTCATCTTGTATTTCAGCTAGTTTTTCTCTAGAGAAATAACAAAATCATAAAACGTTTAGTAAGAAATTTTTTATTTAGATCAATAAAATACTAACTTAGCTGCATTAATCAATTCACCAACATCATCCATGCAGCTTGTATGCGCAATTCGCACAGCACCAAAAAAGCCTTTTTGCATTTTAGATATTTTGGTCATCTAAAGAGAATTGAATGAAAAAATAAAGGTGCATTATTACACGTCTTTACACTTACATGTTCTTTGGCATTCATCATTGCATTTTCGGCTAATTTTCGTTTTATTTCAAATGCTGCCTCTTCTAAATCATGTGTTCGTTGCAATAATTCAAGTAATTCAGACGGTGCTTCATAAGACTGATGTCTAGCATGTTCTTCCGCTTTACGGAGTGCTATTCTCAACTAAAATAATTGTAACGTTTTCCTTAGTAAAAGATACAGGCCGCTAAATCAATGTATAACTACATTATCCTGCGATTAGTTGTATACCTGTTCAATTTCTTGTATAGATAGTTTTAACTGTTTGTCGTGATCAGGAGTTGAATCACGAAGTTTTCGTAACTTCTCAGCTTCTTCCTAAGATAAATACGAAAACAATATTAATATACCATATTATATATTTGAATTGGCTTTGCATCACCTTGGTTCGCTGAACTTCAACATACCATGCATATAACAGACCACGATCAACTTTCGTTTTATCTTTTAGTTCATTATCCATTGATTTCATTCTAGATTTTAAAAAAAATGGATTGATATTTGTCCAGTCTTCTTGTTACTCTCTTTTTACTGTAAATTACATACTTTCCCGTACATGCAATCAGATCAACTTCGCATTTTTGTAATGCTTCCAATTCTTTCATCATAATATTCATATGTTCTTGAGTTTTACGATGTCGAATAAATGCATAAATACAACCACCAATTGATATCAACAATGCTGACATCAATATCATATCTTTAACAAGATTATGAGGATCTTAAATAAAAAGAATGATTAACACTAACCGAATATTAAACTATCTTTAACACTCACTTTGTGGGGGACCGAACAATACCACATCAGTTGCTTTAATTATTAATCGTCGTTTGTGTCTCGGATCTCTGATATGCATTATACCTGTTATATAATGTTTTTCATTAGCTGCTAATCTTGAAAAATAATAAAAATTGTCATTGATTTTCTATTTAATTTTAAAAGGAATAAAATTACCTTGGTATTATTCGACCATCAATTTGATTTCGTCTAAAATTTTCTACATACATTGGCAAATGGACGAAATTAACAAGCCAATCAACCACATCATCGACAGTCCAGTTATAAACTAATATAAGTAAACAACAAATGTTGATAAAAAGAATAATTCTTCAATTTTAGGGTATTCTAACCGGCACTATTATGCCATTGGTGCCATAAATCTTCAACTGTTATGTGTAAATCAGCATCTTGAAATTGTTTGTGACGTTCAGCATCGGTCTTTGATTCTAATTCTTCTGTAATAAACTATAAAAGAAACATTAAAAGTCAAGATAAAGTGATTTACGGAAGATCTATGCTCATCCTCGATGTTAATTTCTCAAAGATGTGGTGAATATCGTTAAAACTTGTCGATTATACTTACCTCGCTACTTTCTGATGCTTCAATTAATCCATCTTTATCATCGTCCATTTGTTCATGTATGGCTTTTACAGCTATACGTCCTAATCGATCTTTATCTGCATCTGTACATAGGTTGAAAATACCCGTACAATCTATGAATCAAATAAACAAGCAAAGAGTAAAAGAGATTTGGTGCATTTGTTGTCTACTAACCTGGATCGGGAATGTTGTATGCAATGGACTGTTGGCTCTTGCATACTTGTAGCAATAAAATGAGGTAAATGAGTATAAATGGAAAGAGCCTCATTCGAAAACATCAATCTAAAAATCATTAGAATGACATCTAAAGATAAATTCAGCTGAAAAGTCAAATTACTAATAATCCTTCTCGTTATTGTCACTACAGATTGTCGTTACTTCGGTACCGGTACTGTTTTCGAGCAACATCGAAAATTTCGGTTCAGTACCAGGGAAAGTACCGAAAAGTTCGATATTTACGAAAAAAATTAAGGGACGGGAGTCTTTGCGATTTAAGGAGAGAAAAACTTCTTGTGAGTTCAAAAATAGATTTAGATAATGAAAAAAACTTCGCTTCCAGTTGGTACCAAACGCTAGAGTCCTGCAGGTTTGAGATTTTTTTGACCGGACCTGGTCAGATGAACTGAAACCCGTCCCGAATCCGCCAGAACTGTTCCGGGATCCCGAACCCGAACCCGATCCAGATTTTTTCAAATAAAACCCGTCCCGAACCCGCTCGAATCCGAAATATTCTTTTTCTAGTGAAGTAGTGCTCTCTTTCGTTTTAACATTAGTAAATTTCTACTCCTGAAGGTATAAAAATAAAATTCACTTGGTCAGTTGTACTTCTAGTGCGAAACACCTGTCCGTCTTCCTTATTTTCCATTCTTTTTTATTTATTTAGAATTGTCTCTTATCTTCCCTATATCAAACTAGAAGAATCGGGATCGGAAACAAACCCAATCCTGAACCCGTTCAGATGAACGAAAACCCGTCCCGAACCCGAAAAAAAGCTTTTGGAATCGGGTTAAACCCGCCGGACTCTACTCTATCAAACGCTCGGTGCCGGTACCGCCAATTACCTGGTTGTCATCCAAAAAGTTTTTAAAAAACAGTCACATTAATTAATAGCTATCGCACTGAAACAATGAGTTATACTACTCAACTGATAGTCAAATATTTGACTGAAAGATTTAAAAAACCGTTTGAGTATTTTAGAAAACGCTTAGGCATCTATTACAAAACTCAAAAGCGTTTTTCATCTCTACTAAACCTAAAATAGTTTTACCTAGTGACACTTTACATTAAAAAACATTTTTACTAAATCTTTTTAAGAGTTTAGTAACAGATATAAAAAAACATTTTCGTCTACTAAATTCTTTTTTATGAATTTTATAAAATACACTTGTTTTTAGAGATTATATAGACTATTGAGCGCTAACTGGCATTTCTGATATTATTCATAGGTGAAGTAACGAGTACCGGTCTTAACGGGGTCTTAAAAGATTAACATAAAAAAATCTAGCCATATCATCTTTGAAACGAAAACCTTATTACTGGAGAGTGCAGAAATACATGTATCAGAGTCTAATACATGTGCAAGCATACTGTTGAAAACTCCTTATATTGGCTTTCAAAATTTTAGATTTTCTTTTCAAATGTTTCAGACGAAAGTTTTAATTTATGGATCTTCATGATTTTTTTTAGGGAAAATCACTAACTTATTTTATAAAGCGTATAATTAGCTTAAAATCTTTCTTTATGATCAAATGAAAGTAACTTTTAAGCCTATTTGAATGATGCAAAGAAGAGGATTTCCAACACTTTTAATACATCACAATAATGACACCTACTTCTCAAAAACAAACAAACAGTGCGCCTCTTCTTCCCTATCCTACACGTCAATTTTCCAAAATATTGTTATCCAAGACACCAGTACTGTAAAAGGTTTTGACTTTGGTCCGAGGATTTTTTCTGTGATGATTTTTAAAAGTTCTCATCGAATATCAATCTTCCAGTTGCACTCAAGAAACAATAAAAAAAAAATACCTAATTGTAACTAATTATGTTTAATACGAATGCAAGCTTGTTTTGCGTATAATATTTGTTAGGACTTATATGTCGCCTGAAAAATCCAAACGAACAAATATTTTTCGAAGAATTCGCTGATACAGACAATCTGTAGTTTTAATCTTAGAATAAATGTGTTCATCCAAACGTTATGTGTAATGTACTATGATGGAAATGTATTTACTCATCTTAATATAGGTATAAGGTAATTAAATCGAATGATAGATAAAATATTTTCTTTCGTTTTCTCGCTCTATCGACTGCAGCACCTCAATAAATAAGATGAATAATGGATAAAAATACAGTACATGCTACTATTTTTATTTATTTTTTCATTAGAATAATAACTAGTGATTTTTATAAGACTACGCTTTTAAAATCATAAATCATCTGACATTCTTTAGTTAATCTTATTTTTAAGAACATTAAATTACAAGGACTAAACAGGATTTACTCTTGTAGTTTTTACAGAAATTTATATATCTTCTGCGTGAAAATTCTTCTACATAATAAACGTTCCAGTACACTTCTCAGAATTACAGTTCTTTTCTGTTCACATGATATTTAGCAAATAAATCATGCATAAAAAGATCATTAGAAGTAGACTACAATGCGTTTAAATTTTAACTAATGCTCTTCACAGATAAAATTCATCTTTAAATAATCAGACTTTTATATGAAATTGAGAATAATATTCATTCAGAAATCATACGTTTTTTTTTTTACATATGACCCGTCTTTTTGCTTTCCTTTTGTTGTTGTCGAAAAAAAAAAACATATTAACAAAAGAATACAAAAAAAAAAGCAATTTCGAAAAAGTTAGGTATACTTACCAGGTGATAATACGTTATTTATCAATATTTCAACACAATTCTGGCATGTAATTTTATTATATCAAAGAGAGAATATAAAAATTTCGAGTATTTTTTTGATATTTATTGCTTGCCATCACTTAACACATAAAAAAATTTGACAAAACGTAATCTTTCTATGTTTTCCCTGTCAAAAATTGTCTAACGGTCAAATCCATTTATTATAAGCGTTCTTGTGTACGGACAAGGCAGAGAACAACAAGAAAGATCCATTCATGTTTTTCTCATAAAAAAACAAGTCCAAAAACAAGAATGTTTTTTGCAGCAGTTGCTGCAAGTTAAAATAGTAACAATATGCAAAACAGCTTATTTTTGTTGATTCTTTTTTTGTCTGAATAGTATCGATTACAGTTGCGTCCTACCGTTTATAAAGATAAAAACAATTAAGTCTTTAAAGAAAAAATAGAAAGATTTACATGATGCTATAAGCAGATATGATATTGTTATAACTATATGTTACAGAGCATTTTTTAGTTTACTGGAAAAGAGAAAGATTTTTGTACATATAACTATAAAGATATATTACGCATTTTTCTGCTAAAGAACAAGAAAAAGAAAGAAACAGGATGATAAAAAAATAATAATTTAAGTCAAGTAAATATCACAGCTGATTAAATCACCCGTGACGGACTAGCATTACAAAACAAAAACATGCTTTTTTCTCGCTAATAGTGGCATATTCTTTGTGAAGAAAGTTTGGCAAAAAGCCCCATCTTGTATCTAAAAAATAAACTTATCTCACCTGGTAGACATAATTGTTTAGAATATTCACGTTTTTGGCAAGTATCTTAATAAAAACTCACTCAGTCGTGAAAAGAATGTTTGAATATTGGTGAGAATCCTTAACTGGATTTTCTTTCAAACATATAGATATTTATAGTAGACTTTTCTCTTCAAAGTGCGGCGTCATGCTACTCTGTGCAATTATGCTCTAAAGAGGTATAAGCATTATTTTATAACTATTACATTTAGACAAGAATAATCATCACAAATATTTTTCTAAAAAAGTATGTTGTTACTGATCAAGTTAATTATCTTTTGCGTATGAAAAAGTCTACATACCATAGCAAAAAAATAGAATATTCCTCTAAATAGATCAATTAACTCTAGGGAGTTTCTTTCATAATCTGCTATTCGAACAAATCATCTCATTTTTACATTCAAGGAGAAGCAAGCACTGTTATGACATCTTGTCAAAACTGTCAGATATAAAAAAGTTTCTTACCATCGAACAATTGTTTACTTCTAACGTACACCTGTTCCATCTTCCAACCTGTCTTATTTCTACACTTCCGTTGTTTTTTTCAGATTATTATTATAGCTTTCTTTATTTTCCAGACAAACCAAGGTTAATAAAAAATAGCTCGTCCATCAATTTTTACATACCTTTCATGCATTTCATAGAAGATAAGCACTCCTAATCATAGATTGATTCGTCTTAGCAAAACAAGAATCAAGAAAGAATTTTTTGAAAGAAGAGAGGGTTAGTAATAATATTGATGAAGGCAGAGATAGATAGAAAACAACTAAAAATGATAACACCAATCGTTCTTCCTAGTTTAATTCACTCCATTATACATGTGATAACGTTATTCTCAACCTGACATTCTCATTTTTGATGCATAGAATTTTATAACAATTTAAATTCACGTCTTGTTGGTGTAAAATTGATAAACTGTTATTTATCCTTTATCGAAATAGAAATCATTTAGTTTTTCGTTTAATAGAAAGTATTTCGTATCTAGTGCAGCATAATGGTTTACCTTTTGATCAGTTTGTTGCCATGAAGAAAGAGACAGAATTTGCAATAAACATATGATATATCGTGCTAATAACTGATCAAGTATATATCGTCAAACCATTGACTTATAAGATGATTTTTATCAACATTCACCTCTAAAATAAAAATTCAAATTTTTGAGAGCATAGTGAGAGCACATAATACTAATAACGTAATTTAAAGGAAGGGACACTCTAGGAACGCTTTTTTCTAGATAATATAGCCGAATTGAATTAAATTTTATGTAATGAAAATTCATCATATGAGCAAGTCGTAATAAAAAAATTCTAGTCCAAAATACTTAATTGTTCGACTTAATCTTAATTAAGTATTGACTACAGTCTTTATTTTGGTTCAATTTTGTCTTAATTCCATGAAATGTGATCTTAACCCTTTCTTGCCTTTGACTAAATCTGACGGTTCTGAAGGACAACTCGCTTAATAGCATCAAGGGCCTCTAATATGTGGTGTTCATGAATTTATAACATGAAAAGTTTGAACCAATTCCGTCAAACGCCAATATATTTTTATGATAAAGATTACATTCAGATTGTTGATTAGAAATCCACAATAGTTAGGCTTCAGATTGATATAAAATCTGTTTCTAAATGTCTAATAGTTCAAGTGAACTAAAGTTTTATAAAATGGCACTTATAAGTGTCATAGGACAAGAAGGGGTTAAGTTCGATATTGACTTAAAATATCTTATGTAAATTATGAAAACCATCACACTTGAACGAACTAAATGCTAAATTAAATCAGTGCTTAAGTGCATAAACTAACTTAAGAGTATTGATGAAACGCCTATATGATCTGTTTTAAAACGGTCTATACACCAGAAATCTACATGGACAGAATTTTTTTTGACCACGCGTCAATGGTTTCATCCACAGAATTTTCAACTAGATATCAATTTTCTATCAAAGAAAAACAACAACATGTTATTTAATTAAAAGTCACTGAATTAATGCAAAACATTGCGTAGTTTAACAATAATCCTGACTGTGTTCCGTTTCAAGTATTACTTTCCTATATATTTATATTTCTGTTGATAACTTTAGTTTCGTGTACATTTCACTAGTTGTTTCCTGTATGTGAAGATTACGTTTTAGACATTGATTCTCAATACTCACACTCTTTTGCTTGATAAACTCGTTCAAACTACTTTCATTTATCATTTCTCGGATTGAAAACAATTATCATGAACTTCATGCTTATCAGATTCAAATAATATGTGTTAATTTTCTGTAAGAATGTAATTTTCTCTTGCTATTGTCAATAAACTCTCTCTTTTCTTCCATTGCATGTAATTGTTTTCGTGTTTACAACTCTGAGGAAAAATATCTCGTGGGAGAAGAAGTAGTATAACAACAAAATAGAAAAATGACAATTGAACTTGATGTCCTTTTCTTCCTACTGAATTACTATCCTCATGTGATTTTCCTCTGGCACATTGATGAAGAAAATTTTAAATCTGAACTCTATAAGTATGCATCAGTTATATAATTGGTGTGAGAGTTTTTGGGAAAACTTTTATATAACGTATTCATCAAAACACACTTGGGAGTTGCAAACTCTGTTTTGCTAAAAGTATGAAAATTATGAAATACGATAAATGTATTTGATGACTGATCCATCGGCTTTTAATTTTTTATGCATCTTTATTAAACCATTCAAATATGTTTCTTATTTATATTTTACAATGTTTTCGACCAAACAGTTTTGTAGAGCAAACATGCCTCATTGAATTAAAATGTTTTCTAGCATTATAGACTTTATTTCTATGATTATTTTACTAAGAGATCCATGTAGGAATTTTATATGTCTCAAACACGTTTAGTACATCTGGATGCATTCAAACGCGTCTTTTTCAGTTTATAGAAAAAAAAGGCGTCTGAACGCGTTTTTTCAAACGAAAATACTCACATAGCAGGCACAAAAAAAGGATAAAGTCTGTTTCATAATTGGTACATACCTAAACTGAACTGAGCAAAGCGGAAAAGTTGCTGCTCATGTGCTATTCATGAATCAATGACCAAAATGAAAAGTGACATATCTCTCTAATACAGATATTTACTACAAACTCATATGTAACTTCTGAATTTGAAATATTTTGACTTCGTTGCATTTTGTTTATGTAATCAATTTAGTTTTTCTATCATTCCTTTCCTTTTTCTCATTTTATCGTACATCAGCACTGCCCTATCAAAAAAACGACAACAAACGAGTAACAGTTCAAAACTGTAAAACGCATGATTGTTCTCAGTCCAAAAGATGTTACATATCATGCTGCTCAAAATGTGGCGTCAAATTTCTGATATAGCACCACAACCTTTTGTGATCACCATACTACACTTCATGTCAATTATATGTATACATTACTGAATTGTTGGTCTTCTTGTGCACGTCATACATTAGTTCTTTCGAATAAGATTGGTGAAACGATTTTCATATGAATCTTATGTTTTACTCCATGATGAGATATGAAACATATGGCGTCTGTCATATTCATATAGAAAAACAGCACTACCTTCGACTACCGCGCTGTTCGCTGTGATACAACACAATTTCAATTTGTTCAAATTTTGGAGCAATAGGAATTTAGACACAACTTGTTATCATTATCTTTTCATCTACGCTACGACAATTTGTCATTGAGAAAACTCTTTATTCCTGTCGGGTACGTTGAGTGTCTTCATCTCAGCTATTTTGTTTTCGCAGAGTACTCTTTTGAGTAAATTAAGGAAATAAATTGAACCTACTCATAAGGACCTACGACAATGATGAGAGACGAGCAAAATTTAGTATTTTTTTATTTTTACAAAACTTTTCGTTTCTTGAATTATTATCTACTAGCAAGCAATTTAGTATTCCAGATGAACTCTCTCTTACAAAGACTGTGTTGGTTATATTATTAGTTATTTGTTTGGTTTTAAATTTTTTAAATATCAGTAAAGACACCCCCTCCTCCTCTTTTTTGCAGAAAAGTTTCATTTTGAGCGGAACATAGTCTAATATAGAGGAAAGACTGGGCTATAAAATGAGACCACTCCTAGCTCTCCATGACGTTTCTTGAAAAAATTATCAAGGTTTTAAGTTTTTCCTTCAAAGCCTAGAAAATCTCAATTTTTTAGGTTCGTAAATTTTTCTCTCCTTTGCTATATATTCAAAATTTTTTCTTATATACAGCGTGATAGAAGAAAGTGTGCTCTTCAAAATGAGATGTTTTCCACAATTTTCCGATGAGTTTTCTTGGAGATATAAGCATAGCCGCAAATGTCCTGATAAACAGTATGTGTACAATATGTGTTTCCTCACTATGCATTTTTTCGGTAGTCCTTTCAGTTGGCACACATTACGATCCCTCGAAAAAACGGTTCGACCGAGCTCAAAATTTTACCACAGATACTTCAGACCTTATCTCAGGTTCGTTTTTTTTAAAGCGTTTTCGATTTCAACTTTCGACGTGAGAAGGTTTTCAAAATGAAAAACCGGTTTTTTATATGGGATTTTCAGTATTTTTAAAATATTTCGAGAAGGAAAGAATATTTTTCGAAAAGAATAAAAATCAACTTGGGATAGAGTCTGAAGTATCTGTGGTAAAATTTTGAGCTCGATCGGACCATTTTTCGAGGGGTCGTAATGTGTGCTAATATAAACTGGAGTTTTCCAGAAAACCCATAGAAGAACACGTCAGAAAATTCTGGACAAAAATACATCGATTTTCTTTTTCGATGTTCTATCTCTGGTATAAATTTGAACCCGATCCGACATCGGCTTCCCCGCTTTTCAAGAGGGTAAAAAAAGAAGAGGGTATCCTTTAAGGATAATTATTTATTTTTCATTGAAAATTATGGGTAAAACCATGACGAAAAGATAATATTATATCGCCGTCTTTGAATAAGATACCCATCTTTACTATTTTATTCAGAGCTGTTCGGGCAGACAGACCACTTCACTTGACTTTATTCTTAGAATAGAATAATTAAATATTACCAATTAAATCTGCTCATCTCAAATTTTCATCTTACAGTGAGTATCATCAAAATGGACAATATAAAACGTTCAGACTACTTATTTTAAACGTGAAGCTCTTATCAAAATTGCCAAACACATTTCTAACATTGATCAAAACTACGACAATAATCGACTCTGCTTTGTTACCAAACGCCTTCAAAATTTTTATTTCATCAGTGCATTTTTTTGCTTTGTAGTAAATCATTTGGTTCAATTTTTTTTTGCCAGATCATCCGCTCATCATATGTAGGCATAATCAATCGGCTTATTTACTATTATATTAGTAAGACAGGAACGATCAGTCCGTTAACTTTGGTATCCTTTGGAAATCTAAACATCAGTCTAAAATTTAAAAGCCATTTCACGAGATTACTGAGAGATGCTGAGAAAACAATTTCTTGTACAAAAAATTAGCGATTCAGTTTTGCTTTCTACCACTGGAAACAATACTACTCGTGCATTTTGAGCATTTCAGCCAAGATTCTTGGTGAATGTTTGATCGTTATCACCGAAAAATCATTAAACAGTCTATGTTATATTATTGATATTTCTCGGAGAGAAATTAAACGGCAATTGAGTATTAAATAATATTTTGTGGCAATTAATATAACTTCTATTATTGAATGTTTAACAATTTTCAGGTTCAAAGTAATTTACCTAATTTAAGAACAGTAAAAATAATTAAGAACACGGTTATTTGTTTTCAATTTTGTCAAAAAAAAAACTTAAAAATGATATTCAAAGTGTTAGAATGGTCATGTTTGTATGGCGAAAGTTTAATTATTTATTACATTGTTCAAATCATTCTTGCCAGCATATAGATATCTGCATCAAAATCTTTATATAATTTAATTTAAAATAAACAGTCAAGAGTTTTAAACATCGATAAATTTGTTTCTAGATTGACCACATAGTGCGATTTTGTGTTGTGAAAATTTATCGTCATTATATTGTCCATGTTTTGCATATAGTATCAAGCAATTCACACACAATCAACTTGGTAACGCTTTTTTATTATATGTTCAATATTCTCTATTTCATTATTTCTCTATCGTTTTCTAAATGTCTATTCGGCAAGGAAAATAGTTCAAGTCTTATTTTAATTTTCCCCACCTGTTTTAGAATAGAATGAAAAAATGATTTTTGTTTACGTTCATTGAATTCATTTTTAATCCTATCTCCCCTATTTTTTTTATGGTCTGTTCCCTAATAGTACGAATTTTCCATTCTTTCAAGATACTTCACTAGTTTTAAAATTTTTGCTACCCGTTTCATATTCTTGCTCCATTTCACTATGACCATGTTTCATGATCGGAACAAATTTTCCTCCTAAAAGTTTTTATAGTTTCACACAAATTTTTCCAGTTTCTTTTTCTCTACTATCCCTCGAATTTCTCGGTTTACAAGATATTACAAGACTATTTTTTATTTTATAGATATTTATGATCTCAAATCTTTCGATCGATATTTCATGTCGTCAATGAATATTGTTTGCCTATTTGATAAATCATAAAATTGAATCATGTGTGCATCTTTATATGATGAAGATGAATTAGATGGAAAAGAAATAAGTAAAACAACTGTTGATCAACCACAACAGCGTAAGGTTAAATTCAAGACTCTTATAGCGTTCAAAATTTGGTTAACCCATTTTTCAAATTTCAGCATGGGGAGACAGTATTCGTTTGTTACAAGCACAACTTCATACAAAAAAATTACAACAACAACATCAGACAAAAGTAGGCGTTTTTCTGAAAAAAAAAATCCATATACTTACTATTCGTAGTTTATTGTCAATTTTTCAGAAAGAATTAAAAGGTGGTGGAACAGTGGCACCTGTGGCCGATCTAAGAAAACGTCGAATGCCACGTTTTGGACCAGGTGCAGAAGTTTCATTCAATAGTATGACAGGAAAGGTAAGTTATTCGCTTATTATTCTTTATTGAAACTACACTGTTTATATCTATACGTAGATGGAATTGCATGATCCGAATTTATCGGAAAATGTTAGTTCAAACATCAATGGTATTCAACAGCAGCCAATACAGCAACAATTGACATCTATTACTCTGATAACAACAGTCACATCCAATACTTTTGGTTTTACGGATGAATATGATGTAAATGAATTAAATTTTAGTTTTTAATTTTTCTTTTGAAAGAAAATAGTGAAAGAATACGGATAAATTCGAAGTGAATTTTGAAAAAGAATTTTTGAAGAAAACTTGCGTGTGCGATAATGAATATGTTTGAATTTTTAATGGACGCCTAATGTATTGATTGAGAATTTCAACTCTTACTGTGTATGACATTTTCAAATTCCTATATTTCGTGTCTATTTAGCCTTTAAAACCCAACGATTATGAAAAACTAAAAGAACAAAAACGTCGTCAGCAACAGCGTGAACGTGATGGAGAAAAACGGCAGCACGATGAAGAAGAACGTCGATTAGATTTTGAAACAGAAAAGGAACATAATCAAGAGGTGGAAGAAAGATCTAAAAAAGGGGCTACCTTTGCACCGCCACCATCATTAATCGAAGAAGATAAACGTTCAAGTATAGAAGCGTGTACGTTAAGAAACGCTTTGCTTTAGTGTCTATTTTGTAACAAACTGACCATTTTAGCTTTACACGATGTCATTCCACCATATCCAAGTTCGAAGGATCGTGTTGAACATATGGATACAAGTCCTATGTCATCAACAACTTTCTCGAATCAAACAACATTACTCCCTCCATCCTTACCGCCTCCGTCTTCAGTCAATCCATTTGGGTACATTTCAAGATACGTAATCTTACGTTTTATTTCATTCTTTCTCTCTTTCTTCCAGCGCTAGTGCAGCAGCAAAGATAATGGCTAAAATGGGATATAAAGAGGGTCAAGGACTCGGCAAGTCTCAACAAGGAATGAGTCAAGCATTAGTTGTTGAAAAAACGTCGAAACGAGGAGGAAAAATTTTACATGAAAAAGAGCTACCTCTAAAACAAGGTAAGGACGTTCTTAGCTGTTGTAGACAAACTACAATGGCAATGTTTTTTTTTATCTAAAGATAGCATACCACCAAAAACTGATTCTGGTGTGAATATGACTGATGTAATGAAAAATCGTTCGAAAGTTGTTTTGCTGAGAGTATGTAGAGAGAAATCTCTTGAACTATGCAAAATGGATTCATTGTTGCATTTAGAATATGGTGGGTGGTGGAGAAGTTGACGAACTTTTAGAAGGTGAAACGAAAGAAGAATGTCAAAAATATGGTGAAGTAGAAAAAGTTGTTATTTTCGAGGTTAGTAAACGAGTATTCGTTGATGAAAAGTTAGAAACTTTATCATTTTGTTTTTTAGATTCCTGACTCAGTGGATGAAGAAGCTGTTCGAATATTTATAGAATTCAAACGAGTAGAATCAGCTGTCAAAGGTAAAAAAGTAGTTTAGTTGTTTAATAAAATGACATCTTAAACATAACGCCTTGGGTTCGATACCCTATCCGTCCACCGAACAGAAAAAATGATCTTTGCTATGATGAGTAAAATGATAGGTATGAATAAAAATTGATTCAATATCATAGAGCCAAATAATTAATCTGAGCAAAGACTAGTGTATAACTAATTTTCAAAGTCAGAAATCTCTAAAAAGTAAAATCTGCATAAATAAATTTTACTGACCTTACGCTATTATTTAATGATAAAAATGAACTTAATTTTCTTCGTTTCTTTATCTCTTTCTCAAGCCGTGGTCGATTTAAATGGACGTTATTTTGCTGGCAGAGTGGTACGCGCAACATTTTATAATTTAGATAAATTTAGGAGATATGATTTAGGAGATGAATATTAAAATTTCTCGTGTTATATGTTCAATCGATAGAATATTGTAAATGTTTGTTATTGTTATTTTTTTGTTATCTGTTTTCATTTGTAATAAAAACGTCAAACAGAGTTAATTATCACTCGTTATATGATTTTCAATTATAATAAATTCATTTTTCTTACATAACTTCCTTGATTGTTTATTTTGTTTTGTAGAAATAATGGTTACTGTACAACCTTTCTCAATGGATGATGATGATAATACAGTTCATTTAGACGATGATGATTTCAACGATGATATTGAGATTAGTAGACAAAATGATGGATATACATCTTTAAAGAACAATGACTGGATCAATGAATTACGTCAGGCATTAGACCGTGGCTGTGATTTAGGATCCATAAGAAATATCGGAAAATGTCGTCCACTTAATAATGAGTTAAGATTACGAGTATGGCAGGTATGAAGTGATGAATATGATATTCAAGCACAGCGTTACTAATAGGAATTATTTTTTAGACATGTCTTGATATTAATTCGAACAGTGATAAATATAAATATATCAATGAAGTTTTTGATCTTCCAGAACAAAATATCATACGTGAAGATGTTTTGAGATTAGTGCGTAGGTGAACACATTCTTCTTTTCTTTCTCACTCACCTTGATCACTTAAACTGTATCCGTTTCTTATCATTATAGAATCGTTGAATTCGGATGATCCGGATGCTGCATCAAAAATAAGTGATGTCGAAGCTGTTATAACAGCTTATTGTAAACAATAGTAAGTTGAATACCTTATGACGATTACTGTTGCAAAAGAAACGACTATCAGATCTTATGAAGTTCTTGTGGGTACTTCCCAAGGGACAAAAGTCACTTTTAAGTAGGAATTTGAAAAAATTGACTTTTAAGTGAAAACAAGTAACTTAAAGTGGGAACGCTATCTGAAATGGCTTTTTCCTCTATGTACTTTCCCTTTTTTTACTTTGTTGGCAAAAATGCAAGCATATCGATGTATTCTTGCTTAGAATTTTCTGACATATTTTTCTAGAGGTTTTCTGGAGACGCAGAATTTCATCCAGCCGCGTTGTGACTCTTCGAGAAAAATGATTCGATCCAGTACAACATTTTTACCACAGGTACTTCAGACCCCAGGCCCTATCAATTCTAAATTTTTGTTACAAAAACAGACTTTCCTTCTCAAAATATTCGAAAAATGCTGTAAACTCTATAAAAAAGTTGAGATTTTCAAAAATTTTTAATGAAAAAAATTATAATTTGAGATAAGAACTGACGTATCTGTGGTAAAAATTTTGTGCTGAATCGAACCATTACTTTTATTTTTTCTATCAAGAAAAATTTAAAAATCAATTCGGAAAGAAAAATGTTAGTACAATTATTGTTAGATTTGCCTTGACTGTCTTACATCATAAAAACGGGGAAGTAAAAAACCTATATAAATGGGTTATATTTTTTTACAATTATTTGTTCTTTTAATAAGAAAATTACGTTTCTATATTTCAGCAAAGAAACATATGAAAGAAGCAACGGTTGGATTGAATTATTCAAACCTCTATTAGTAGTGGAATATAGTGATCGTTCTGAATTGTATGAATTATTTGTTGCTATTCTCAATCGCTATATACCACGGTAAGATGAATTCAAGATTAAATAAATAATCATCAAGATATTTCGTAAGCATAAAGTTAAACAAATAGAATGTGATTTAAATTTTTATTGAGTGTTTCAAATGTTTTTTCTATTAAATCTGAGTTCATGAGCTGAGTTCTTGGTTATGTTCTATAGAACAGCATCTATGATTTGAATATTATTTTCATGGCGTCTGGATCTTCCAAGGTAGCCATTGCTACTGCAAGGGGTTTAGAGAAACTCCAGTTTTTCTTAGTACATTTACCTATGGAAAGTCAATTGCCCTACGCTACAATCGATTTTCTACCACTATCTACGCACACAAAGCTAGTTCATTGTCTTCTATTTCTCTGAACGATGTTATCAGTGCACTTGTCAGTTACAGATCCAGCACTGAAATTTTTATGGTTCATACTACAATTTGACAGTAGGGTTATGTCTCAAGTAAAACTGTTGTTACGAAGCCACTTCTCGATCACTCTGTAGTGTTTTTCTTATCAATCCTCAGATTAAAATACAGTACGGTCAATACATATCTCGCAGATGTCTGTTATCATCGGGATTACCAACTGTGAAAATTCAAATAAGGGATCGCTTAATCTAAAATGAGGACACTCAGAGAAACAGATTTTCATGGGTGATAAATCTTCAAATAAGGGACTGTCTCTCTCGTTGGGGACATTTGAAACCCTCATTATCATGCATATGTTTAGAGAAATCTGATATTGAGGTTTCAGACAGACTACAAGTAATCTTGCGTGCGATCAAGCATCTTCAAGGGTCAATAGCAAGACATCGCTAGCTATTATATTTTTGATTTTAATTCGGATGTTCGTTCAATGCTCTCCAAGCCGCGGATCTGCTTCTGTAAGTTGCTGTTGTTTTTGTATTCTATGGCTGCTATCGATGTGACGAATCATTGTAAAATTGCAACTTGATAAGATGTTGAATCTCATCTTTTCCCACACAAATCGTTGAAAATCGATCGAACAGATCCGAATTCTGTATTTTCAAACTATACAATCAGTTTTTTCAGTTGTTACAATAGATCACTTTCTCACTGGTCGCTAGACAAACATTTAATGATTAAAAACTATCCTTCGCTTCTCAGTTCAGAAAGGACATAATACGACTTTATCGAAACGATTCGTATAGTATTTAGAGTCGATTATCATATGTATTGTGTCACTCACATCCTGTGGCGTCTTATCCATGTTGGCTTACAGAATCATACAAACGGGAGATTGAGTTGTCGATACCACCCGCCAAGTACAAATAGCGCTAATTTATTCTAACTAATAATCAATGATCAACATTATTGTGGGTATCTTCTGAAATTCATCTTCATTTGGTTCATGATCCCAAAAATATCTTGAGCTTTCTTATTGTAAATATAGTTCACACGAGACGCGGAGTTATAAATGATTATAAAAAATTGTAAGTTAAGTGCTGTACCTATTATATTTTTTCCAATAAGGATGCAAATTCGAAATGTTTAGTTAAGATATCAACGCACTGCGTCATTCTCGCAACTACAAAAATGTACAAAAACAACCGATCTTTGACATCCTATGAGAGATTCTATTTTCTTCTAATGTACTACTTTTTGCTTCATAATAGTTGTCCACACCTGAGTACAGTGTTAGGAGTTAGAATCTGTGTATCGGATGGTGATGTAATGAAGATTTTATATTTTTTTTTGTTTTAATCATGCAACTCTGCTGTTTTTAGAGATTGTGAAACCGATGGAATGCCGTATCATCTTTTTCGCTTGTTACTATTGTATCATGATCCAGAATTATGCAGTTTTTTGGATACTAAAAAAGTGACACCTGATCTTTATGCACACGCTTGGGTATGTTAGTTTCCGTAATCTTATGAATATATAAGAATCATTATTTTCTTTTAGATACGAAGTTTATTTGCAGCTAATTGTTCATTGGATGTCACATTGGATCTATGGGATGGTTATTTTCAACAAGCTGATCAATTTTTTGCTTTTTTTTTGGCACTAGTTTTATTAATGTTTGCAAAGTAAGTTACAAATTATTCGTTCTATCAGGGACACAAAAGAGTTCACTCTGCTTTCTTTAAGAGAGCATTTATTCAAAATGAGTGGAGCTGATAAAAGTGAAATTATTAGTAAGTTTGATTTTTGTTTTAGCAATTTTATTATAAAGTTTTTTTCTAATTTAGAATTTTTATCACAAGCAGCATCAAATTTAAGTGCAAATGACTTAGAAGATTTTTGTTCATTAGCAAATCATTATGCATCAAATACTCCACAATCATTTCGAAAAGTAATTTTATTATATGTTCATTTTTATGTTATAAGACATTAATTTTGTTCGATTTTCAGGAATTTTATTCATGTTTATTCAATGATTCAGACCGTACTTTTTCACAAAAAGCCTGTTCCATATATCAGGCATTATGTTTACCTGTATCCGTACAAGAATTATTACAAGCTAATCAACTTGGAGGCGTATGTCTAGTGAAAAAAAACTTAAATTTTTGCAACATTTGAATAATAATTTATTTTAGGCAACTGCCGGTGTTAGATATTTCGTTGTGGATTGTAGACCAGCCGATCACTATAATTATAGACATTTATACACAGCATTTCATCTTGATCCAAATCTTGTACGTTGTTGTGTTTTTGATATTTGAGAATTGTTTCAACTGATAAATTGTGATCATTATAGTTATTAGAAGATCCAAAAGAATTTAGTGGTACAGTTGATGCTCTATTTGCTACACAAAAACATTCAATTGAAGCAGGTAAAAATAAGAATAATATGTTTTGTTTATACTGTCATAGTATTCTTTCAAAGATTCGTCGGCCGGTGGAGAACATTTATGTTTTATGGGTTCTGGTCATGAAGAAGAAGACAAATATGTAAGAATGGTCGTTGCACATTTTCTTCAACGGAATACAAAATATGTTAGTATAGCCCATGGTGGCTACAAAAGTACGTTGTTTTACATTTTGAATTGTTTGCTCTTAATGTATATTTTTATGTTTTTTTCTTGACTTTTAGTGCTTGCACGAGTTATTGAAGATCCATCAATGTTAACTCACGCTCAACAAAACAATTCAACATCGAACGAATCATCAATATCAGATTCGAATATAAATGCATGGCTTAATTCAGTACATAAACAAAATTCAATAGAAAAATTAGCCGTTTTAAATAATCAGGTACTATAAGTACTATAGAAATCAACAATAATTATTTAAAACATTTTTTTAATATTATAGACAATATCTTTGATAAATATAATTTCAAGTGCTGTGAAAACGAAATCAATTGAAGTTAAAGACAAAGTCAAAGATTATATAGCTCATACATCATTAGCTGATGATCAAACACTAAAGTAAATATATCTTATCTATTAATATTGGATAATTAGAATTATTTTTATTTTGTTTGAGACATGTGAGCAAAAAAGATAAAACTGATAATATATATCGTCAAAAAAATCAGTCATCTGTGTTTACAATCGATGGAGATGATGAAAATGGTAAGAATTCAATTTATTTGATTTTGAAAATATTTGTTTATATTTCTTTTTTTAGATACTCCTTCAACACGTCAAAAAGAACCACCAGAACTTGTTGATATTGAATCATGGTTTTTAAGATCAGATATGTTATATAAATATGAATGTCAATATATTGATGAAAATAATCAAATGCATCCAAGGTAAATATGATAAGGTTATACTCAAAATATTTTCTTAAAAATTTCGTATAATATGTTTAGTTTGTTACTTGTATCATCGTCACACTTGTATATATTACGTAAACTACGTGATCATAAAACAATGGCCGATGTTATATCACGACGTCCATTACAATCAATTGTTAAAATTACAAGTAAAAAGAAGTTTCCAGAAATAATAACATTCCGCTATTCTACACAACAACAACAGCAAGATAGTACAATGACAACACCATCATTATCATCCTCACTACAGAATCCTATAATTGTGGATTGTGATAAAGTATTTTTACCTGATGCTGGTGATGCAACAAAAAATATTAAATTTTTAATTGTAAAAGCACTTAATTTGTATGATTTTAATGATAAGGAAGAACAGCAAACATCAACGAACCAATCTCTAACAACGGCCTAAACAGAAAAATGTTGATAAAACAACTTCTTTGCTTGTATTAGTTTTACTGTTAAATTATTTACTCATTTTTAGTACGTTTTGTTTTATTCCATTGTTATAAATTTATTTTGTTTCTATATATTTTTTTTCTTTATACTTATAAACAGAGACGGCGATTTATTTAACATTTGTAATGAGAACTGACACAAACAGTTGCGCATTAAATCAACAGTACATCAAATCTATGCAATGTGACAATGCACATTTTTGATAGCATCGGTATCACTTGAGTATAGTAAAATGTACGTACATGCCGACTAGAGAATCCGGTGAGCCTGGTTAATTTTGAATCTGACTCTGATCCCATCCCAAATCTAGAAAAATCGTGATCACATTAAACCTACAGAACGAGAGATGAGGGTGCAGATGTTCTTAATTGCTGGACAGCACATAGAAAAGATTTTTCATTAATATAGTTACTGGTTCGTGAAATACTCGCCATTCCAGCATCGAGATCGAGCGCCTACTCTCTTCTTCGAAAAACACAATTACTGATCGTCGAATACCGATTGAAACAGAAAAAATAGCAAGTTAATGTTTCTTAAAATGTATTGATACACGAATATTAATGGATAAAACTGGTGATTAGTGAAAACAGTCAGATGAAGATAATGGACATAAACAGTTAACAGCTAAGAAGCAGAAATTCAATTAATATGATGATAGTTTTCGTGATAGTGGAAAGCACAAGATTTAAGAAAAGACCTCTTTCTAATTCTATTTTTGTCATAAACGTTCATTAAACTGAAAAATAGATTTCAACAGGAAAAAGTATAACCTAACATGAGAGAAAACACTTCCATATAAACGTATTTGAGTATCATCTAATTATTAGTAAAGAATGACCAATATTCCATACTGTCATACATTTGAATATCTTTTATTCAATGTTCATCATCCGTATTTTGATTGACATACGCGCGGTGAATCAATTGATATTCGTTCATTGAAAACATCTTTCTGTATACATGTGTATATTTAAATATAGACCTGTCTATCTTATTCAAGTGATATTAAAAACTTATAAGAGCGTATATTATTAACGTACACAACAACAAAAAAACAACAATAATTCAAAAAGAGTTTTTCATGTTCACATTTCATTTTAATATTGTCCACATAGGTGTGGGTCGATTTATTCTAATATATCACGGTTCAATGGTTGAACAACTGTATATGTATAAAATTCTTATTACTCCTGCTACTTATGTTTAGTGTATTGATAAGATAAATACCTATCTTTTTTTGTTCATCTTCCTATTTTACTTTGAACAAACATATTTTCGTTCTAAAGATAAAGTAGTGAGAAAAGAAAATGAGAAATAATTATACTCTTTGACATATGCAAATTTTTCGAGGACACGCGTTTTAATTCAAATGAAAATAATAACAGAAGATTGTTTTTTTATTAGTTCATGTTTCATACTCATTTGATACACATATTGAGAGAGAACATACACGTGTAGGTCAAATGACAGCATTACTACAAGATCCAACTATACAAAAGATTTTGGGAGAAGTGAACAAAGCCGCAAGTGGTGGTGCACTAGGACAAGCTGGTGCTTATTCGGGACAAACATTTGATGCTGTTGGATCGCAATCATTTTATCAATCTAATGGATATCCGTCAAATATCTATGATACTGCGTTCGATAGTGACATAGATCTGAGTACCCCATCAATACCCATGACAAATGGAAATTTTAATTTATATTCAGGCTTTGTTGGTAGTGATCAGTTTTCAACAGAATATATTGCTCCTTTCAAATATCGATATTATGGTCATTATCAAACGGGTGAATCAAAGACCAGAGTTCAAGCGACACCGAGTGCCACATCGTCTGTTAACAACGGTGTTTCAATTGAGCAAGTTCATTCTAGTTTTATACCATCATCAATACCAAATTTGGGTCTAAATGTACGCATAGAAAATAACACGATAGAGGAAACACTGCCAACTGAACAACTGATGAATAATTTAGCGTTATCAAATGACAATACTCAGAGCAATCATGTCCACAACAATAAGGCATCATCAATTGACATTCAACGTTCATCACCAGCTGATGGTTCTGATCCTGACTTTGTTGAGAGTCAATCAAATTCAAACCTGAATGGTTTTCCAATAGAAAACTTAGATCAACAAACATTAGCATCAGCAGGAAAAATATATTATGATCCAAATCCTCAAATTATCAAACGTCAGGGTATAGGCTCCGTTACTTATAAACAAAATATTCTTATTCGATTTTTACAACCGCCGCCAATTCCAGCAGCTGGACCACTAATCATTAAAGAGGTAAGTGTTAACGTGTCTTAATTAATTTACGTTAAAATCAATAAAAAAAATATTCTTTGCAGGTTCGACGTCCTCAACCTCCGCCATTACCGCCTTTAGTTATCAAACAACGTCCAACTCCTCCAAAAACACCACCGCCTCTCATTTTACGCGAGCGCCCACCGCCTATTCCACAACAAGTTCAGTCTAAAATTATAACCCGGTAAAAGAATTAGAATAATAGACGATATCTAATCTATTGAAATATGTGAACAAAATTTACTATGTTTCAGACAACTTCCAGCCGAACCGCCTCCTCCACGAGCAGTAATTATCGAACGACTCCCTCCTTTACCACCTAAACCTCGTAAGTGTTACTGATGTTACAGGAGAATCTATAAGAATCTCTGTATATTTAAACAGGCGATATAATCATTGAACGCTGGTTACCATATCAATTAAGTCAAAAACGAAAAGTCTTAGTTCAACGAGCTCCGATTATCAAAGAATATCTAAAACCCAAGAATGTCATTATCATGTAAGAGTGTGCGTGTAATATGCATAATTTGAAGACTTCCAGATCAGGATTACCATCTGTAGAAATCTGAAAGGCCGGAAAAAAAGCAGAAACACTTTTTCAAGCGGAAAAACTTTTAATGAAAAGCGGGAAAAAGTCGGACGCGTTTGTCAAGAAAAAAACTATTAGCCACAAATAAAGGTACATTTTCAAATCAGCAGATTGAGGAAGGGTGGATATTCACTTTATAGATGTACTAATAGAAAATAAAGTTTATCAAAAATGTTTGTATTTAATCAAGAAAAGAAAATGGAAAAAACGGAAAAAAGTGGAAAAGGTGACAATCATGTTTTCCGGTGATTTTTTTAGATATGAACCGGTCCAAGCTCAAATTATCCGGCAATTTCAAAAGCTAGGTGTTGTTCGACAAGATCCCAAAACTTATATCAATCGTTATGGAGCTCAACTTCAAGATGCTATAACGTTGGAAGAAGAAGCGAGAAAAGCTGGTGTTACTGAAGATATTGTAAAAAACATTTTGACTATTGTTATCTATACTGTAACTAATACTCATTTGTTTTTAAGAATCCACCATCAATTGTCAAAAATGGTGGATTAAGGAACACCTATGGATTTGATTCCGATACATCGTTAGGTGCTAATGAACTGGATGAACAACTCACTGAGTTAGGAGAAGGCAATATATTTGATAACGGTTCTACGGCATTTACAAATGAAGACGAACAATCAATTAGAAACATTCATTCATCATCCAGTGTTAAAAGAATTCATCTATCAACATCAAATAAAACTCTTGACGAACAACAAGGTGTTGAAAATCGTCAAGATAACAATGGACAACCATTTTATATTAATAGTATGTTCAAATACTCAATTTTCTTTAGAAAAATGATTTACTTTTCTATTCGTTTATTTAGATAATAATAATAATGTTGTTGATAGTGGTGATAATATTTGATAACACCTCAAAAATTTTCCATAGACATATCAAGTCAAACGAGTTAATGGAACATGGTTCAAATGTAAATAGTTACTCCTCGACTTATTTCGTTTTTATAACTTCATCACTACGAACATAGGTCTGAAAAGCTTTTGTTCTAGTTTTGAAACTGCACTGTATGGTGTTTTTTTATTAATAAAGATTTTTTCTAGAATTATTTGTCTCTAGCATTGAATCACTGTAGCTACTACGTTAGCAGAGAGAGTTTTATTCTTGTATGTATTTGCCATCTTTTCTAACAAAAATGTTTGATTTTGAGGAAAGTCTGGTCTATACAATACGATCACCACAGGGTTCCACGAACTTGCTCTACGAAAGTATGAGATTTTCAAGTTTTTGCACATTGGGAGCTAAAATCTTCGATTTGTGCAATGACGTAAATTTCTTTTAGAGTATGCCATGTGTATTATGATTCATCGTTACATTTTTGAGATCTTCTAAAACGGCCATAGAGGCTTTGTAGAGGAGATCACGTTCAAGTGCCATGGTTAAGTGAGCATTTTTCTGTTGGTAGACTTTGAAAGATCATCAAAATAGGATTCCATATGTAATTTTCAATAAGAAATTCAATGGTGATACTAAAACAAGTCAATTCAACTGTTAGTGTATATATTGAACGTATAGTAGAATTACTACATATCTGACAGTATTCTAAGAATTGTTTATCCTGTTGTAGGATTTCCTGGCGATTATGGAGAAAGACGATCTAATATATCACATTACTATTGGTAAATCATCTCTCAACTTTCTTTTCTGTTCTAAATGACTTCGAGATGTTGTTAGACAGGATGTTTGAACGACAGTACATGCTGTAAGAGATTTCTAAAATGAATTAATTCACTTTTAGAGTATTTTTGATAGCCACGAGCCAACACGTTGGATGATCTATTATCCTTTTCTGAAAACGAGGCAGCTCAAGATTTTCGAAATATCCGCTCTATACGCAACATAGCGGTAGAACGCTTTAATCTGAAAATCTTGATATAGTGACTTTAGGTCGATTTGAAACAAAAAATAAACATCACCACTCGACTCAGCGTGGTCGATTACCCCTCTCTTGACCCATTTTAGAATCACCCAAGATCAACTGGCCCTCGGGAAAATGCTTATAGCTCCTGAATCGTAGGAGATAGAGGGTTATACTGGTCTAGAATTGTAGACCTCGGTTCGGGCTATCGATTGTACTGTTTGAAAATCAAAATCCATTGTACAGTCCAGGAACGGCGGTCTCGTAGACTTTGCATCGAAAGACTTATCATTGTAAACCTTACCTGGAAGCCTAGTTTTTGCATATGCTTACGTCTCCTGATGTTCTCTGTCCTACGGTGAAAATGTCTCTATCACTTTTTCTTCAAATGTGATAAGCATTCTGCCGAGCCTCCTCGTTTTCAGAAAAGGATAATAGTATGGATATGCCCCAAACTATTTTTACTTCTTATTTTGTTATGAAAATAAATATAGTATCATTTTATTCTAGACATAAATACCCGTCACGTACATTTTCTCTCAAGATCATCGCATTATTGATTATTGTTTTAGAGGATGCCGTTTTAATATGACGTGGGCTGTTTATATCTTTAAAAAATAATAAACGTTTTCTGGAGTATTTTGATAAATAGATAAAGTTCGATGTCTTTTTTCATAGATCTAAACTTTATTTTCTCTGAAAAAAACAAACGTGTCTCTATTTCATTTTTATTCTTGAATTGTATAAATCATCGTCTAAAACTTTAATTCATACCAAAGGAAAATTTTTTTCCAGTTCAATCATATAAATGGTTCCACATTGATGATGCATATAGAAAAATCGCCATTATTACTAAAAACACAAAAAACACGATGTCATATTTCAAAGTAGACTGATTATTCTACTCTTCAAAAATCAAATATATGGTGCTATTATTGATATATGCGACATAACAAACCAATTCTTATTGTTGTGAAATAGATGAAATTAATCCATTTTACCTTGATTAGATATATCTATAATCATCTTGTGAGACTTTTATATCGCATACTGATTATATTTCATTTACAAAGAAGGGATCGTTTAAAAAGTTCATTCTGAAAAGGTATCGTAAGTATCATTTCAATAATTTTACAATTATTGAACATCCTATCGATTATTTCAATTTTTAATCGGAATCATTTGTCTTGTCCTTGGGTTTATCTCTGCTATCATCAGCTTTGAGAATATGCTGCTCAAATTGTATTGTGTAACTTTTGCATTCATATTACTAAAATTAACATTCTGCTCTATCAAAGCTTAGAAACGTCTGTAATTGTCTTACTGTAATTGCAGACCTACTGTAATTGACTGCAATCAAGTGACTGGAACTTACGTCTGTCCAAGTGGTTATTCCGGTTCAAGATGTGAAATAGCCACTTGTATGTAATGAGATGTGCGTTTTTTTTCAATATATACCCATTTATAGCCACAGATTTATGTTGTGAAGTTACATGTAGAAATGGAGGAGTGTAAGAACCCTTTTTAAAGAGACAATTAAATCCCTTTATACTTTTTAAAAATTTTAGTTGTAACGTAATTTGTCCAGGATATGCAACATGTTGGTGGTAGACACGAGGTTTTTTTTTCCTGTAGTGAAAAATTTTACAATGTTATATTTGTATCATCGTTAAATATAAAAATTTAGGCGCTTCGACCCGTTCGACATACAATGTATGAACGATGCTACATGCTAACTGATCAACCATAAAATACATCCAACTGAAAAACCCAGAATTTGATTTACCAACAGACGAGATTCTATTACTGAATGGTACCTATGAACATTCTCCAGCATCAACTATATTTGCCTACTGTTTGTGCAAGTAATGTATACATGTTATTGTGTAATATATTTTGTAAAAAAAAATCTTTGTATCTTTTTGTACTTAATTTTTGTACTGGACTCACAGGACAACGATGCGAAGCAGGTTATTTTTTAAATATTTTGTTTCGAATTAAAATATTAAGCTAACTTCATCAATCTATTTAGAATACTTTCGTTGTCCATCTAATGGGTACTACGCTGATTCCTATAATTGTGCTCAAGACAAATATTGTGAATGTGTCGAAACAGATAAACTAGTGATACAATCGAGTGGCGCAGACTAAATTAGACTGTTTGTATTTTCGAATTTCCTTGAGTGAGCTAGTTTTTTTACCAAAAGATTTCTTGTTGAATTCTCGACAAAAAGTGTATTGACTAGTTTATTGCAAAATCCAAAGGTGTAAAATGTCATGAGAAATGGTGAGAAGTACTAAAATAAAATAAATGTATTTAGTTGTTTTAGTATTATCTGCTAAAAGTTTGTGAGAGAGGAAAGCTGAAGTAGCCATTGCGTACAGCTGTACTTTCCATCTGTAATTTAAATAATTTTCAGTTAGAATTGAGGGTGCAAGAAAAGAATTTCATTATTTTTTGCCAATTTTTCAAAAAAAATGGCGATATTTTACCAATAATTTGAGCCTTCCAATAAAACAAATAAAGCTTAGTTAAACTTGATCCATTCAGATTGATTTTTTTAATTTTAGAAAGGTAACAACTTTTGCTATTTTCACTTGATTGCTGAGAAATTAATATTTGCGCCAAGTATTTAGATTCAAGCGATTTTCGCTCTAGATGACGAGAACGAGCGTATTTGAAACTACACAAAAATATACTGAAACCATGTTTCAATGCTTGCGAAACCGTTCGAAAAACTTTCGCTCTCTTTAAGAAGATCCGTTTATTTTTTCAACATTTTAGTACTTCTCACCATTTCTCATGGCATTTTACACCTTCGGATTTTGCAATAAAACAGTCAATACGCTTTTTGTCGAGAATTCAACAGGAAATCTTTTGGTAAAAAAACTAGCTCAATCAAGTGTAAGGAGGAGGAGAAAATTTGAAAATACAAACAGCCTAATTTATTCTGCGCCACCCGACGTTGTTATGATTTCCTACAATGTACAAAAACAAGTGTCTCAGGGCACTTTTCTGGACGATGAATGGGACACTTTAAAAAGTGATGCACTTTAGTGCGAGTACTTTTTGAAGCCACTGTCAACGTGAACACTGAAAAACACCGTAGTGGGGCACTTTCATCGCTCAGAAAAGTGTCCTGAGACACTTGTGTTTTTCTCTCTAATTTTAGCGATCATTATAAGTCGTACATGCCCTCGAGGTCTACGATATAATTTCTTTTTCGGTCGATGTGATTATGCAGCAAATATAGCTTGCCCAGCGCTATGACTATACAAGCAAGCCAAGCAGACTAAAAAGTACAACAGATATATGAGTTTGATTTTTTATTGCCTTTTTTTCTTCTCTATAAAGTATTCCGATAACCAATAGATTTTGGTAACATTTTATAATGCATAATAAATTTTAGGATAAAAAATGTAATGCATACATATTAGAGAAAATTTGTTAAAAACTTCGATTGTTATGGATTAAAGAGAAAGAAACATAGAACAGATCCACTTAAAGCATATATAAAGATTGTTTGTTTGTGCCTTGTTGGCTTTACATTGTAATAAAATACTCATGATCTACTAGCACAGCTAACAAATTGAATAGCTGACCGAGGAGTGGATACCATTACTAGTCTGATCTACAATTGATTAGTTTTATACCACTGAGAAATCCGAATCAAGATCAAGAAAAGAAGTTTTGTTGCAAATTTTAAGATATTCTACACATAATCTATACTCTTATTTTCAATGTATAAAGGTTCTATAATTATGTTATCAGAAAACAAACAAAGAAAATAATATTAATATGACGGAGAGACAACAAGCAAAACTAGTTAATTGATATGTACAAAAAGAACAACAACAATGTAATAACTCAACAATAACCAGCGTCAAATCCTTCGAAGGAAGATATGTTAAAATAAGAACTGAAAAGACTTTTTTTCTTTGTTTAAAAATGGAACGTATAACACTCACTGATGATCGGTTGTTGAGATGGCAAAAAAATAGAAATATATGTATAGAATTAAATACTAAAGTAACAATAATAAAAAGTAAAACACAAAAAAAAATTGGCTGATCAAAAATAAAACAAAAGAATCTCAATCTTCTTTAAGAACACGCATATACACACTCAACAAGTCCCCATTTAACCGGTTGGAAGTGAAATTTTTTCTTCGTTACTGCTTGTTGGATATGTCACCCGCCTTTCATCAGGTGCCGTCCTTGAATAAATGTATTCTGGTCCTTTTTTAGACCTTACCGTTTCTTCATCAACTCGAACGCCAACAATATCCGATTCAGGTATGTCAAACATTGGATCAAGTAAAATACGTTCCTAAAATAAACAAATCTTTACATCTTTTTACAAATGAATTAAACTTTTTTTACCAAAATTGAACGTAATCCACGAGCACCAGTTTTACGTTGTACAGCTTTTTTTGCTATTGCTCTCAATGCACCATCTGTAAAATCTAATTGTACCTATAGAGAGAAAAACAAAATCAAATAAACAATAAAAAAAACGTGTTTTTTCTTTGATATACTTTATCTATATTAAATAGAGTTTGATATTGTGGTATGTACGCATTTCTTGGTTCAGTTAATATTCTTACAAGCATTTCTTCATCGAGACTATGAAATGCTACGATCACAGGCAATCTTTCGAAAAAATAAATAAAAATTGAATAACAACACTAGCAATTAAAAATCTTTTTTTACCTTCCGACAAATTCAGGTATCATTCCAAATTCTATTAAATCTCGAGCTTCACATTCTTGAAGAAAACGATCGCGTTCTTTGTTTTCTTCTTCTAATAGACTATCATCGTTTCGTTGATCATGCAATTCCATTTGTGCAGCACGACGTCTCGATGGCAACTCATTATTTGATGTTGAACCAAATCCAAGATACTAGATTAAAACAAGAGTAACATGTAATTTACAGTACACTTCAAATACTGTTACTTTTTCTCTTTTTCGACGACTAATTATACGATCGAGTCCTGTGTATGCCCCAGATGCAACAAATAAAATATTAGTTGTATCCACTTGTACAGTTTCACTTCGCATTTTTCTTGAACTTCGCTCGGGAACATTGACACTAAAATATCCAAATATAAAATGAACCTAATTTATAATACAGAAATAAAACGCTAATAATACGGCTTCAGACAGATATGGTAGTGTTAGAAGGATATACGTACATCGTTCCTTCAAGCATCTTTAGTAAAGCCTATAATAAAACAAAAGAAGTTAAATCTTTGAAGTTTAAAATAAACAAACTTAAGTATTACTTGCTGTACTCCTTCACCGCCAACGTCGCGTAGTTGATGTATCCCCGGAACAGATCCAATTTTATCAACTTCATCCAAAAATACAATTCCTTAACAAAAATCAATAAAAATTCATCTCTGTTTCAACTGTTAAAAGAATTTGCTAACCTTGTTGACATCTTTCGATGTTATAATTTGCATCTTGTAACAATTTAGCAATTACTGACTCAACATCCTCACCAACATAACCTGTTAAAGTGTTAATAATCTATTAGAATAATTCAAAAGGAGAAAATTAATTATACCTGCTTGTGTTAGCGTTGTACAATCACATATTGCGAATGGCACATCTAAGCATTTGGCTATAGTTTGTGCTAGCAACGTTTTGCCTGGAAACAAAAAAAGAAAAACAACGTATTCAGACACATCTACATTCTTTTTTAAATACAGATAATAGAATCTTACCACTTCCTGTGGGCCCTAACATCAGTATATTACTTTTTTCTAATTTGAGCTCATATTGCTCATTATTCAGAATTTCACTACTATGTTTCATTTCTTCGCTTGTTGATGATGAAAATGATGAATTTGAGTTTGATGCAGATGGTGGCGGTGAGCCTAAATGTGTACCGCCTTCTTGCATTGCACTAATATGATAAAACGGTATGCCAACATTGAGTATAACTGATTAAATAAATAAAACGAAAAAATGAAAAATGAGCGGAAAAATAATACGTTGTCTTTCTTATAAACAAAATAATTTTCATCTCAGATGAGGAGAGCAAACGAAGCAGTAGGGAAAAGAGAAATAATAGAATTAAAGAGCGCTCTCTTACCTCGTTGTGGAGTCATACTGGTCAGACCCGTACTTTCAATTGTATTTTGTTGTGTTGGTATTTGTTCTTTCTGCTGTTCTTGTTTTGCTTTAGCTGATGATAAATAAAGATTATTATTCAACCGTTTATAATGATTATAGACCTGAAACGCCAATATTAGTAGTTAATTCATGTCAGAAAAGATGGCTATTTTCACCAAGCTATTCTTACCGCCACGGCCATAACTTTCTTTGCATGGTCCTGTCCGATAATATATTTATTCAAAAATTCATAAATCTATTTAGAAAAAATCCAATGCAAAGCTTCCTTAATAAAATAGCTAAATTTTACCTTTTTCGGTGGGGGTGGAGGCTTTTGTTTGACTTTTTTGTCATCTTTATCTTTTTTACTTGTGTCACTTTCAGATAGTACCACAAAAAAATGGCTACACTTTTCACATTTTACAAAACGTGTTGAAGCTAAACGGTAAATACGAAAAAATGAATTGACCTATAATCCAAGAGACGATCATATATACTTACACACAAGTGATTCTACATGAGAACAAACATCACCACATTTCGGACAAATAAACGTCAGCTTCCCTCCAGAACCATTGCTACCTAAGACAAAAAAAGCATATAAACAGTGAGAGGGAATCCATAAAAATTATATTTAAATTCAAATTAGGTTTGATGTGCAAACATTTTAAACAAAGAAAAGTTACAACAAATCAGTTGCACAATAGTTGTCCTAGTGATACTTCATATCTTTCACTAGCACCTTTTCGAAATTTCGATATTAACGCATTGGTTGCTTAAAATAAAGTAAGCAATCAACCTCAAACAAATAATATGCAGAGAAAAATTTTGGAAAAATCTTTGTTAATACATACTTTTTGAAGTTTGGTTAATGTCTCTTGGCGTCTGTGAACTACCAGAGCGTGTATGGACAACATTGGCTAATGAAAATTTTCTTAATTGCAGTTGTGTAAAATTTGGCCGTTGATTGGGCCGCTGGTAGATATTTATCAATAATTCTGAATATGACAGTAATTTAGCTTAGAATAAAAGAAGTGGCACATAAATATTATAATTACCAAGTTCATGACGAAAAAAACGTGTGGTTAAAAGTTTTCGTGCATACATCGAACAGAATTGAATGAATAAATAATAAATTTACAAATGATGGTAATGATGGAGCTAGAATATTATTCTGAAAATTTCTATGTATACTATGCATGGATATCAATCATTATTAGTACATCTAAAGAACAAAAACGAACGGAGTTCAATATTGATTTTTTATCCTTAGATTGATATAAAGTGTAGTAAAACAGAAAATTGTAACTGTAGCAACTAAGAAAACACGAGTTTTCGTTATGTAAAGTTACTACCTTCATGTGACCGTAATGTGTGATCTAGTCAATGTGTATGCTGTTAGAAGAAAAGGCCCAAGAGAGCCACCACTTAAGTCTCAACTGAATTTTGACTGGGTTCTTGGTAGTTTATCTAAAGTATCGATCAAAGTCTTTATTTTGACTCAAGTTTGTCTTAATTACATGAAACGTGATCTTAAGTTCGATATGGACTTAAGACATCTCCAGAAGTATCTTATGTAAATGATAGAAAATCATCACACTTGAACGAACTAAACGCTGGATTAAATCTGTGCTTAATATAAGTGCCTGAACTTACGAACATCGATGAAACACCCGTTATGTGAAAACGTAATATAATCAACAGCATTAACTCTTTGTTATTTCTTATGTACCTACACGTACAGTGCGAATTCAAAGTCACCTATTTAACTAAATATAAAATTGAATACTAATGCATACTCAGATCGCCCCCATCTAATTGGTTGTATTTAGACATCCTGATTTCTTCATTGTCTATATTAGTTTTAAACAGGTGACTCTAGTTGTGGTGACGAAGATAGCGACTTATTTCAATCTAGACGATAGCTAAGAGAGAGTCGAAATTTAAGATGGGAATTTTTGACCAATAGAAGAGAAGACTGCATATGATACGTTGTTTAGTTTTCTTCTCTGTATGCAAAAGAATAGACATGTTTGCAATTTGATTGATTAAACTTTCCTTCAACGTTGATAAGAATACGTACAAAACGGTGTAAAACGGCTTGCGAAAAAAAAGAAACGCAACCGCTTCTTGGAAAGCTCTTTTTTCTTATAATGCTTCGTGCTGCAGGATAAGATATTTACAGTGTCTCTAGCACTTTGTTGTGAGAAACGTATCATCTGTGAGTCGTATCCCGAAAAAACTTAAGACAAAGTCTAGACTTAAGTCAAACTTAAGTGTATAAAATTAGCACGTAAGTGCACATAACGAAGATTTAAGTCAGACTTAAACTTTTTTGTGATACAGTCCCCGGATATAAAAATCATAATTTTAACCTTTGATATTTCAAAATTTTAAAATGTTTATGAAGCAAAATAGAAACACATGAAGAATTTACTTCTGAAGTAATTTCTTCATGGTTTTGCTAACTCAGATGGTTAAAGATAGAGAGTGGCTGATTTTGATATGTTACTCCCTGCGCTTCTATTACTAAAAGGTATTCTCTTGTTGCAATTCATCTGTGAATTATCCAAGTTTTTTTCTTATTAATTGACTGTTGAAGTATTCCCACCAGAGATGGGCACCGGAACCAAAACATTTTTTGGTCCCGGTGCCCATCTCTAATTTTCTCAAATTTTGTAATTAGCTCGAAAATTTGGCTCTCTTTTCTGTTTAAAAGCATGTGTCAATTTTTTCGTCCACCAAAAATTTTGGAACTTCAAGCATTTTTGAACAATCATAACCGGTGATTCCTCTCTCATCTCTGCTTGGAGTTTCTTACGTCGTTTTCTCTGTACAACCGCCTTTTCATCAGCGAACTCGATTTTTAGCATCTCAAATGACTTGCATCCGTACCCATTCATTTAGGCTTTTCAATAAACAATTGAGCATGTGTAACTAAAGAAATCATTGATAAAAATAGTCTGGTAATAGCAAATATGTCAAACGGTTACGTTTACAGGTAATTAGAACTTGATTTCTTTTTTTGATATGTAAAATTCTATTTTTTCTTAGTCCATACTCCTATATGACGCAACAAGCCCAAACATTCTATGCTGCACGACCGCCGATGACTGGATATGATTATAATACAATGTCTTCCTATGGATATATGGGAGCACGAGTAATTATTATAATTTTGATTTATATCTCAGTTTTTAACGCTTTCGCTTTTTGTTTAGCCGCCACTACCTTCGTCGTCTGGATCAGGTCCACGAGCACCGTACCAATATCCTGTTTATGCGTCCTATGGCACACAATATCCCCAGCCATCAAGTCAAACAAACAGTTTGTATCTTTTTGATTGTTTTCACTACCATTAAAAACGTTATATTTCCTATAGATTATGATTCGGCTCTTCAAATTGCTGCGGCAGCATTGGCCAAAAATACGCCAGGATCACAATCATCCACGCCGATTTCTTCTGGAAAGGGGGCCAAATGGACATACAAAGGTGGTGCACAAAATCAACGGAATAATCAACAAAATTCAAAAAAACGGTATCAGCCATCGTCAACTAATGCAAATGCACAAATTCATTATTGTGAAATATGTCGAATTTCATGCGGTGGACAACAAACATATCAAGAGCATCTTAATGGATCTAAACATAAGAAAAAAGAGCAAGCATCAAAATCAAACCAGGAACTACGAAATATGAGTACCAAACCTGGTGTTAATGTATTACGTTGTGAACTATGTGACGTCACGTGCACCGCAGCTGAAGCATATAAAGCTCATATAGATGGTTCAAAACATCAGAAAGCTCTAAAACTTCATCAAAAACTAGGAAAACCAATTCCATCATTCGAACCACAAATATTGAATAGTAATCTTTCAAACAGTAAACCTGATATTCATGCAACAACACCAGCAGTAATTCAAGCAAAACCAAAATTTATTGTAAAATCGCCCGTGATAAGTACGTAGTACTCAAAACATATCTTTTTTGTGAACATTTCCAGGGGCTTGTCCAATTTTCGAAGGAAATGGAAATTTGAGGTTAAGAGCCATAAAAGGTGTGATATCACAACTTTTCTGTTGTTTATGGTCTTAAAAAGTGTGAAAGGTTCGATATGACACATTTTCCATTTTATTTAATCTACTGTTCGCCTTGAGGTGAAAAGATGTGATGTATCAGATATTTTGCAGAGTGTAACTGGACTATGTGTATCACTGATCACGAATTTCTTATTTTGGGCAACACATAATGTTTACTTCCGATTTCTAAATAAAAAATCATTAGGATTTTTACACTATTTTTGTTTACCGCAGCTACGTCTTTCAGCGCCAGTTGCCACAATTTTGCACCGAAAGTGTAACGCTGACAAGCTTTTTCAGTATTTAAATATATATTTTTTCGCTTAGCTGCTCAGCAACAAGTTATTCAGCCTGTCAATTCAGAAATTGTACCTGTTGAGCAACAACAACAGCCCGCACAAAACAGTAAGGAATAATCGTTTGTATCTCAAATCATTCATTAGTTTTTCTTTGTCTAGATGCAACAAGCGAAGATAATAATAGTACACTAGCGAAATTATTAGAAATGAGTAATGTAAAACCAGTTGGCGTTGAATATATTGAAATGAGTAATGATGGAACAAAACCAGTGATGTATCATTGTAAATTGTGTGATTGTAAATTCAATGATCCAAGTGCCAAAGATATGCATCTCAAAGGTCGACGTCATAGACTTGCATACAAGGTAAAGAACAAATTTCTATTTACATGGCATCAAAATGATTGAATCAATTTTCAATCTCATAGATAAATTATAAAAACTTCTAACATCTAAAAGTTTCGTTGATATCTAATCGGCAAAAACTTTTATAAAAAGTTTCTACGAAACTTACGATAACAGTTATATCTACAGTTATATCTTATGTTTTTGTTTATTTTAGAAAAAAGTTGATCCAAGTCTTCAGGTCGATATGAAGGCGTCGAATTCAAGAACTGGTCGCGTTGCTCGTTCTCCTCAAGGACTACCGCCACCATTACAACATTTTCGCAATCAACCGGTAAAATATGCAAACAATGTAAACAGACCCTCAGTACGGCCTCCATTTAATAATAATAATTTTAATCAAAATCAGAATAGTCAAAATATGAGAGACAATCAATTTTGGAATTATCCTGTGAATGCAAATCAATTTGGTTCATCACACCAAACACACTATTCTAATAAACGATTTGAAACAGATGATGATAAATATATAATGATGAAACATCAACAAATATATCCATCCGACAATATGGTAAGATTTTAATGAGCAATGATAAATCTCTCTTACTATTGCCATTTCTTTGCTTTTTTCAAGTTACATATGATCCAACAGTTTGTATTAGCTACCGAGAAAGCACTAAAAGCTTCTTCTGATATATTACGCACAAATTCAATAAATAATAATGAACAAAATGATTTACCTATCTCATCAAACACACCGGCGTATGTATAAGCATTAATCTATAAATCAATAATAACAAAAAAGATTGATATTGTTTCTCTAATTATAGATTAAATCAGGCACCATTGTTAGGTGTTGCACGTACAGAAATATTATCAAAAGGTTTGCTTATAAATACGGATCAAATATTGTCACTTATTGTTTTATGCGCATCATGGCCAACAAAAGTATTATTTAATAACATTGCTAGTATGTTACAAGAAAATTTTGAAGTAATTATTAAACTTTTTTTTAATATAAAGTTCTTATCATAATGACAAAAATATTTTAGGAAATTTGGCGTGATAAAATAGATGTTGAATCGGATATTGAAAATGAACGAATTTATGTTAAATCAAAAGATGATTTTAAATTAATTATATCCATTGTCTTAACATCACCAGAATGTGGTACTTATTCAGTCTTCTTGAATGTTGTAAAGTAAAAATGAAAACATACACGGTGTATCTACGTTTCAGAATCGTCATTGAATCTAGTATCATCACATTTGGCAAATACGTCACCATCTTATTTATTATCAAAGAAATGTTGTTTGGATTCATTATGTGCCTTGCATTCTGCAAGATGGTTTCAGGTAGAATGAAAAAACAAAATCGTGTTGTTTTCTTTTGTTTCTTTATTCTACATATCCTTTAACAAAAGAAATGTGTTTAGTCTTGAGAAGAAGATGACACGTTTGTTTTTTCACATTTAGCTGAAGCACTTTTAAAATCTATTAATGGACAAGCACTCAGCCAATACTCTCTGGATAATCCTATATGGGAAAAATTATAAATTTCTTTGCCTTTGAATTGAGAAAGGTTTTTTGGATGATTAAAGGTTACTATTTGTAAATATTTGAACGCATTTGACTATGTGCTTGTTTAATTTTCTAAATTTTCTTATCGATGAAAATTTTTACCTATTAACAAGCATTTATAGAAGTTTCCTGTTTGATAATTAACCTGTTAGTCTGATAATGTATTTTTCTCGAAGATTGAATTGATGATCTAGGACAAGTGATTAATGCTTTTCCATGACTCAAAAGTCTAAAAAAACAAACGAGAAATCTATTTTTCTTGGTATAAGTTTATGACGGTAAAAATAACTTTTTAACGTTTATAAATCTTGTTATATAAGGTAAAATTGTTGTGTTATTCTCTGAAGAATAAGTTTGTGGCACTAGTTCATTTCACATATATGCTGAGGGTAGTGTTTTTCACTGATGGACGAAGTAACCGTGTACGAAGTTTTCGTTCCCTAGAACATTGTTGGCATCTTCTTGAAACTGATTAATAACTGGAAAAACTTGAGTATATTACTTCGTACATAATTTTTGACGTATTAGCCTTAGTTTTAATGACGATTTATTTTCTAGACATTATTTTTTTGTTTTGTTTTAGTTTATCAGTAACGGATATCAAAATTATAAATAAAATTATCTATTGTTTTTTTCTATTTATAGACACGTGTTAGTCATTTACAACATGCTGCCATAATTATAAGAATTTTTCGTTATATGACAGAAACGTCAATTCTATGGGCATCACTTAAATATGAAGTAAGGAAAATTTTTTATTGTTGTCATTATTTTTGCATAGTTTTACAAACAAAACATGTTTATTAGGTTATTGAACTTATTGTCGAACGTATACTGCGTGGAACACATGATCAACAACAGCAACAAATGACAATTAGTTCGGTATTTAGGCTTGTATTGGAATGTTTATCGTCCGGTTTATTATTACCAGGTTAATTGAATAAAAATGAGATAGAATTCAAGAAATCAATTCTGTTTTGTTTTCGTCTTTTTTTCTGCAGATGGACCAGGTCTATTAGATCCATGTCAAAAAGAACCAAAAAATGCATTAGATTATCTAACTGTTCAACAAAGCGAAGATATAACGTATGCAGCACAGGTATAAGAAAAAATAATCGCTTTACTGCTTAAATTATTTATTTGTAGCTCGAAAAACAGTATATAGAACAAAAAAGAATGAAAGAGACAGATTTTTCAACATCTTAATACTATTTTTTCTTTCTTTTAGCTTGCCTTAAGAATGATGGCTTTTGAACAACTTCACAAAATACTTGATTTGGAAGTTTTAAAATCGGAAACAAATATTGATGTTGGACGAAAACGACCACATCCAGATGATGAATTAGGTAGATATCAATATTTACATATATTAGTTTATCGCAGGGTCAATATTTAGTGTTTGTTTTAATTGTGTTTTTGTTTTATTTACAGCAGAAACGGCAAATAAAAAACGTATGGAAGCAAGTGTCGTTTGATTTATTCTCTTGTCCAGATATAAATTAACTGTTGTTCAGTTTCTAGTTGACTGTTTTGTTTTTGTTTCTCTTCAAATTTAGTGAACTATAGTAAATGCTTTTTTTTTGTCACTAGAACAGAATGGTTTACTTTTTGTTAAACAATGATGTGCTTGTGTTTTTCGCTCTATGTGAATATTTGTCAGTAAAAATAAACTTGAAAACATTGAAATCAAATTTTTAGTGCTAGATAAACTAAAACGATCTAAACTTTTATAAGAAAAATGATAAAACGTCAAAAGATAAACATAATAAACTCTAAAAAATAGAAGACTAACATTGTACTTGAAAAACGTATGTAGAATTAACACGGCGGGGGGGGGGGGGGGCGCGGGGGGGGGGGGGGGGGGGGGGGGGGGGGGGGGGGGGGG